CATAAAATATGGGAAAGTCATCCTTTTTAACGCCTAAAATGTTTGTTTTTTCTGTTGTTTTTTTTTTTGCTTCAACTTGATGAAATTTGTTGCCGATATTAATAACCGCTATGAAAAAACAAAAATAAAAACAACACACAAATTATTTAAACTATTATTATTGTTTTCTGTAGTTTTTAAATTTAAAACAATTTTTCAGTAACGCATATAATATAACTTGCGCAAATAGCTGTGATCACGTTCTCTAACTTGAAAAACGTTTTCGTGGTCGTACGAGAAAAAAACCCGCACGCCTTTCCTAGGAAGGCTTGCAATATCGCATAATTTTATAAGCTTTTTATTTATTGCTTAATCATTCTAAATAATAAGTAAAATTAGTTCAAGGTAATATTTCAATATTTACAGTTACAATATAATAAAAAAAAAGATGTTTAATTTTAAAATTTTTATTTAGTTATTTATTTTTTACCTACATTTGTTATAAAAAGACTTTTGTACCCCTGTCATTAAAATCATTTGTTTTAAATATATTTTGACATGATTATTCAAATTAAGTTTTTTCGTTTGACTTCCCCAACTTCATGCAAGGCAAATTCAGGCGAAATATTGTCTAACCAAATAAAAATGCTGTTATTAATTTTATACGAGTAATTAATATAAAACAATTTTTTATCAGAATTTTGATTGAGATAATAAATATTCATCATTTATTAACATTAAATATAGAACAATAACAATTTACAGCAACGAACCAGTATATATTTAAGGTTTTTAATACCTTTTTAAATGTTAACAGTAGAAAATAAATAACTAAACCAATAATGAAAAAATTTATGAAGAAAAATAAATTAAAATTTTTCCAGAGTTTCATTTGTCAAAAGTCTGCCGTGATGTCAAATACTAAAACATTTATGAATTAAACATGCTTCAAAGGAATCGCCAAAGTCTGTAGATTGCGACATATAATTTGAAGACTCCAAGTTTTTGAGTAAAATGGAGGTGAGCAAAACAACAGGATTAGTTTTTCTCGGTATGCATTCATTATTTATTTTTAATCAAAAAAACTTGGTTCACACCTCTTTTTTTTAACTTATCTTTAATATGAACAAAACATGTGCTGGGAGTTTGGGATCCCTTTAAAGGGTTCCCTAAGTGCCACTACCAGTTGTATTATCTTAAATAAACCAAAAAAAAAAAGTTTAGAATTAAATAAACTTGCAATTTTTTTGTCAAGTTAATAACAAAGATATTATCATTTTAAACACCATGTTGTTTTTCATGATGGAAATTTCTGGCTTGTAAATTTTTTTATTTTTTATCTGGTCTTACAAATGCATTTATGGTTATGATGATCTAGTCTGACCAATGCATTTATTGTTGACATAAAATATAAGCATTGTAAAAGTAAAACTATTTATACTGATATATACCGATAGGTTTTATTGTGCATTAGATAAAGGTGGAGAGGTTAAGGTCATCGCTCTTGACTTTTCTAAAGCGTTTAATAAAGTTTGGCATGCTGGTCTTCTCCATACACTTTCTTTTTACGGTGTATCTGGAAACATCTTTAAAATTATTGAATCCTTCCTTTTTAATCATAGTTTAAAAGTTGTCCTTGATGGACAGCACTCTTCTTCTTATTCTGTAACCTCAGGGGTTCCTCAAGGTTCAATCCTAGGCCCTATACTTTTTTTAATTTACATTAATGATCTTCCAGATATTCTCACATCTAAGATGGCATTGTTCGCTGATGATACTACCATTTATTCTTGTCACGGTAAGAAGCCAACTCCCTCTGATTGCTTGCAGGGGGCATTTGAGCTTGAAAAAGATCTCACTTCTGCTACAGCATGGGACTCACAGTGGCTGGTGAACTTTAATTCAGATAAAACTCAATTTTTTTTCAGCAAATCATTATCGCTACAATTTTGACCTTCTTATATTTATGAATGGTAATGTACTCAATGAGTCATCTACCCTTCATCTTCTAGGATTAACTCTTACTTCTGATCTTTCTTGGAAGCCTTATATCAAATCCGTTGCAAAATTAGCATATGCTAAAGTTGCATCTCTTTATCGAGCTCGTCACTTTCTTACTCTGGATTTTATTCTCTATCTCTATAAATCTGAAATACGGCCTTGTATAGAATACTGTTGCCATATCTGGGGCGGATCTTCTAATGATGCCCTTTCTCTTTTAGACAAGGTGCAAAAACGCATTGTAAACATAGTTGGACCTGCTCTTGCAGCCAACCTTCAACCTTTGTCACATTGTTGTAATGTTGCTTCTCTTTCTCTTTTCTACAAATACTATAATGGGCACTGCTCTAAAGAGCTAGCGTCTCTTGTGCCATCTATTAAAATCATTCTCGTGTTACTCGTCATTCAATGAAGTCTCATCCTTTTTCTGTTACTGTTCCTAAGTAACAGAAAAAGGATGAGACTTCATTATATATATATATATATATATATATATATATATATATATATATATATATATATATATATATATATATATATATATATATATATATATATATATATATATATATGTATGTATATACATATATATGTATGTATATATATATATATATACATATGTATATATACTAAGTATTGTAACAATTTCTAGATGTAAACTGACTTACATGGGTGTGGAGGCCGGCACGGGTGATCACTTACCATTCCTGCAGAGGCCTATATACATGTATGTGTGTGTGTTTATATATATATATATATATATATATATATATATATATATATATATATATATATATCTTCCGGACAAAAAAAATGAGACCGCGTATGCTAAACTTTTGTTCGTATTTTTACCATTTTCGGCGAGTCATACAATGACTTCTTTTGTATTTCATGAAACCCATTGTTTGATTTATCAGGTGCATATATATTCATTAAAAATTCTATGTGTTCATTATTATTTCTGTTTTACCTAAAAATATTTTTTTTAGAAATAAAAAGATAGTCAGCGTTTACACTTGACTATCTTTTTAAAGCGAGTCATAAAGACCTAAAGTCTTTGATGAAATTAACTGGGATATCTAAGGCAACAGTTGCAAGATATTTAAAGAAAATGAAGGAATGAGCTTGGAGAGAAAGAAAGGAAGTGGTAGACCAAGAAAACTTAATTTAAAGGACCAACAACGATTGATTCAATTAGCTCGAAAAGATGACACACGATCAGCCAGAGATATTCAAATTGAATTAATTAAAAAAGGCAGTCCTAAGGTTGCTCCCAGAACCATTACTCGTTATCTTAACCGAAGTGGGTACTTCAGTTTCAATCCCAAAAATCAACCCCTATACAAGAAAATAGGGTCAAATGGTGTGAAGAACACCTAAGAACAAGATGGAATCAATGGGTATTTAGTGATGAGAGTCGCTTCGAGTTATTTGGAACTCGAGAAGGTTGATGGGCATAGAAACGATCGAGAATTGGCAAAGCAAAGTTCAAAGAGAGTCTCGTGGTTTGGGGGGCAATTAGTTCCAAAGGTAAAACATCATTGCTTATAATCAAGGACACTGTGATTAGTGAAAAATACAAATAAATACTTTCTGAAGCTGAGTTTCAACAGGATGGAGCAACATGCCACACTTCAAAATCAGCTTCTGAATGGTTTACAGAACAGAAATGGAAAGTTTCTTCCTGCCCCACGAATTCACCGGATCTAAACCTTATTGAAAATGTGTGGGGGTTAATAAAAAAAGCAGTGGAAAAGAAAAAACCAAAAAATTTAGATGGTTTAGAGGTTGCAATTCAAGTAGTTTGGAACAGACTTTTCTTGGATTATTTGAAGCCATTAATTGACAATATGAAGCGTCATGTTCAAAAATGCATAGAAGTCCAAGGACATGTGACCGGATATTGATCAATATATTATTTTAAAAATAAGGCTTTGCTCTTTATTTTCTATTGAACAATTTTATTATTCATTTATTATTTTGAAAATAAAACTTAAAAAACTTGGTCTCATTTTTTTTGTCCGGAATATATATATATATATATATATATATATATATATATATATATATATATATATATATATATATATATATATATATATATATATATATATATATATGTATGTATATATAGCAACCTAAGTAAATGCTAACTTAGCAATCAATTGTATATATGGTTTCCATGAAAAGTCAGTAGTGAACGATAGTTCAAGAAGGCGTGTAAAAAGACTTAATGAGAGTGTTGCCATTCATTAATTTAAGAATGTCAACAATATTACAATATTTGTTTGGAGTAAATAACTGAGTTTTGTTGAAGTTAAAGTTCACAAGCCAGTGCAAGCCTCAAGATGTTACAGAAGTGAGATCAGATTTACGATTGGTTGCCTGTCTTTAGCAATTAAAAAGACAAAACTTTTTGTCAAGACAAGAGTGTAAAGAGTAAAAAAGTTTTTTTAGTTTTGTTTTGAAAAAAAATTAGCTTACAGAAAATCAGGAGAGTTTATTTTTTATGAGAACGTTTAAAAAAAGTCTTGTTAGGACCATTTAATAAAACCTGAGCCTAAAGTCGAATCAAATTGTCTTATGAAAATTTAAATTTTAATTAAAAAATTAATAAGTTCACTAAGTTCAATTTTAAATTTCAGCCCCCACATTTTTTTCTATATTTTGTGTCATAGCCTGTTATTTAGAGAGTGCCATCTTAGTGCCATTTTGTTGTTGGGACAGTTTATGTATTGTTTTTTTTATTGTTTATGTTATCTGTGATCTTTCTTTGTTTTGCATCTTTTTTACACCTATATGTTAGTAGTTTGAGAAATTAAGTAATTTCTTTTAAATGCAAAAAACTGTGCTGTTTTTTTGTTTTGTTTTTTGTTACTCTAAAATTTATGTATAAGAATTTATGATATTGATATTTAGTTTAATATATTGCAATTATTTCTATATTCAAAAAAAAAAATTCCATATTTTTTTTAGTAAAAAAAGTTCTTATAAAATTTACAATTTATTATTTATTATAGCTTCTAGGAAGATCAGTGGACTTACATAAACTTCTGGAACAGCGTCTGACAATATCATTAAGAAAATCACTAGATGTTGCTGTGTCGAGATTTGAAAGTAAACCATTATGTTATATAATGGTGAGCTGTTAAAATTTTACTATAATTTTTAAAACAGTTTGAGTTTTAGGAGTAAATGACATAAACAATAGACCAACCAATCAACCAACCTAGTGGTAACAAAAAAAAATCATCAAACCAAAAATCATATAATTAAAAACCATTTGCAATAAAATATGATAAAATTTTTTAATTAAAAGAAATATATATATATTGAGAATATTTTATTCTTCATAAAAAAACATTTAACTAAGTTCTTTATTTACACTTATAACATTTTGTTTTATTATTTCCTAATCCAGGTTTCACTCTTTTGTTTGTTTGTTTTTAAAAAACAGGATAATAGACATTAGGTTTTGATTAAAATTAGTTACGTAGCATTTTATGCATTCATCTTTGTTCTAAAACAAATAAATACAAAACCCTAATAAACTCTTTTTTTATTAATTTTTCTGGATTTTTCTGCACACAAACTCTATATTTTCTAATAAACACTGCACCAGTGGTCTTTATGTTTGTAAGTTATTGAGCATTATTCCTGCTTTTTTGAATCAAGCCACCAATTGCTGAATTGTTGCTGTTGAAGATGGGTTTTTTTTTCAGAAAGTGTAAAAAAATTGACATTGTGTTGCATTAGTAAAATTGTTATTCCATGCATACAGCAATATGTATTAATAATAGTATGTATTCATGCATTTACCAACTTTTAGTATTGTTGTATGCATAATATAATTATCCATTATACAATTTTTTGAGTTTATATTCAGTTATAAAATAAAAAGCAGAAAATAAAGTTGAGAGGATAGTAAAACAAATAAAAAATAAAAAGTTGAGAGGAAGTAAAACAAATCAGGTAATTATCTGTGTACAAACTAATAGTTTGTACACAGATAATTACATTTTGTATTGTTATTGTAAAAATCACCTATATAGGTATTTAAACAAATTTAAAAATTTTAATTCAACTGAGGATGACTAGTGATAGTCGAAACATATATTGTTTAAAATTAATAAAATGGTTTTATTAATTAAAAAGTTTGTCTTGTTTATTAAAATATTTACATTTTTTTGTGCTTAAAAGAAATTTTGGATATATATATATATATATATATATATATATATATATATATATATATATATATATATATATATATATATATATATATATATATATATATATATATATATATATATATATATATATATATATGCATATATGTATTAAATGTATAAATATATACTTTTTTTTATTAAATATGATAAAAAAGTATAACTGAAATAAAATATTTAAATAGGAGCTTGAAACACTGACAGAAATTTGTCGCTTAACACATTTTCTTCTCTCCAAACATATCAGTCTACCTAATTTTGAATCAATGTTTATGGAAGCTAATCATGCTGTTTCTGCACCATATGGAAGAATAACTTTGCATGTGTTTTGGGAGTTGTATTATGATTTTTTGCCAAATTACTGTTATAATTCGTCAACTAATAGGTAACTGTTTCTTACTTATTACATTTAATGCTGTTGACCAGATATTTATAATTATTTAGAAAATTTATCAAATTAAAGAAATCTTTCTTATTACAATAAATTCTTTACTTATATATAAACATAAATGTTTTCGGACCTGGTTATTTTTTCTACCACTTTTTGTACTACAAGTTCTTTATTAGTTAGTATGTTAGTTTACTTATAGTTTAGTAGTCTTTTAGTAGTTTAGGAGTTTAGTGTCAAAGTTCAGGTTCCGCACTTTTTCTTTCACTATGGCTTTTTTTTAACAGTCAGTTTATTTTATGTATTTTTTTAAACTTATATCATGTATGTAATTTTTTTTTTAATGTCTAGTATGTTTCTATAAATATAGATTCACAAGAACAACACTCTCCTTTGTTAAAGAAGAGCCTCGTGATCAGCCTCCAAAAGCATCAAATGTCCATCTCTATGGAAACAAAGTAAGTTATAATTTATTCTTTTGTAAGTTTAAAACATGATGATGATGATGATGATGATGATGATGATGATGATGATGATGATGATGATGATGATGATGATGATGATGATGATGATGATGATAATGATGATGATGATGATGATGATGATGATGATGATGATGATGTAAGTTTAAAACACGATGATGATGATGATGATGATGATGATGATGATGATGATGATGATGATAATGATGATGATGATGATGATGATGATGATGATGATGATGATGATGATGATGATGATGATGATGATGATAATGATGATGATGATGATGATGATGATGACGATGATGATGATGATGATGATGATGATGATGATGATGATGATGATGATGATGATGATGATGATGATGATGATGATGATGATGATGATGATGATGAGTTTTTATATTAATTGTTTTTTTTTTGTTAGGATTTGCACAGTGCATACACAAATATTTTCTCATTAAATGAAAACTTTGTAGGATCTGAACATTTTGGATGTATAGTGCGATTGCTTAGTTATCAAGGAATCGCTGTTGTAATTGAAGAACTTTTAAAAGTTGTTAAAAATTTGGTATGATTTAAAGTGCTATCATTTTTATGATCTTGATGTATAATGATATCATGACAACATATGCTTATATTATTTATTACAGTTTATTTTTAAGTTTTGTTTCAAAACAATTAATTTTTCAAGTATTGTTTCAACACTAACAATAAGTGATCATTTAAAAATAACAAAATGCTTTAAATTATGTTTGAATTACAAAAGTTTTTGAATTTTAAAAATTCAATTCTAATTATGGAACCCTGAAGAGACCAAAGATTTGTTTGATTTAAATGATCTTGGAATTATAAAAGTTCGAATTAAAAAAATTTAACTGTATATACCAGTATCAGGAATTATAGTATATAAACCAGTAATTAGCTGATTGCATAAATATATTGCTGCTTAGAGTTTAATGTGTTACCACAATCCTCAAGCAAGCTGTGAATAATTAATTTTGCTACAATTTGTTTAGCAAAGGTTGTGATTTATATTTGCATTTTTAGATTTGTTTAGATGTTTAAGACAGAGCTGTATAACAAATGCTGTTGTATACAAATATCTATATTTGCATACAAATGCAGCTTCAGAGCTCAAATTTAGCGCATCGCCAATTGCAATTGCTTTTCACTCCTTCATGATTAGGTTTTTCTTTAAAAAAATATTTTCGCAAACTTTTTTTTTTTTTTTTTTTTTTTTTTTTTTGTTTATTTATTTTTTCTAATTTTACTTTTTTTTTTTGGGCAATTCTTAAGAGTAATATTTTTGTCTAAGTTTTTTTTATTAGGCTTCATAAAGTAGGTTGCGCTAAGTTTTTCTTTTGAATAGAAGCATGATCATTTGCTTTTTCGTGTTTTCATTTTCATTTAACGCAAAGCACTTTTGAACTTAAGTTACTTTAAATCTTTGCGTAGAAACCAATAATGTTTTAAAAGGTCGTTAAAGTGAAAAGTTTAAAAAGGGAAAAGACATTAAAAGCAAATATTTTCTTTCTTTTTTTTTAGCAAAACAACCTGGTTTTTATCTTTGTTTTTAAAACTTTGCACCAAATTAATTTATTATTAATAATTTAAATTATTATTTTAAATATAATTTTATATTAATAATTTTACTACTTTAAGTATATTAAAATATATATTAAATTTGTTTTTATTTAAAAAAAATTTAATAGTTAATAAATGTTAATGAAACTAGTAACTTTTTTGCTTCAACATTTTTCTCTTTAACAACCTTATAAAGTTATATTTACTTTGATTTACTGAATGAATTACTGAATGAATAAAGTACATCACAGTAAATTTATTTATAAACTAAATCAAAACAACCAGTTACTTCAGTAATTTACAGTTACTCAAATATTAACTTATCAACTATATTAATTTACTTACTATACTCAAAGACTCACAAAAGTTTATCACAAAAGTTATCTCTTATATGTTGTTAACGCATAATATAAGCTTCTAACTAAAAATTATTTTAACAAAAATTATCGAATAGAATATAAATAACACAATACAAGCCTTCCCAGGAAGCACGTGCAGTCATATGCCTTGTTCGTCGTCGCTTAAAGTAATTTTTTAGACAACTTGACCGCGTTTTTATACAGTAAGCCTTTTAAGAATTTGCGGCAAATTACAGCTATAAGAAGACAATAAAACAGCAATACTCAAAGAAAAGAGTTAAAGACTATACAAAAGAGTAAATCTAAATAAAATAAGCTTAAAAAAATGGAATATTTAAAAAATAAAATTGTAGGGGAAAAAAATAATATATCTAAATATTTTACTGTTTTTATTTTCATATTTTTAGAGTGTTTACTTTTTGCCACTACCAAAATTAGTACGTCGAGGAAAAAAGTAGTTTAGAATATAACAAAAATAAAAATATTTTTTGTTAAGCAATTTTTTCGCTATTTTTTTCAGTCAGTATATTAAAGAAATACTTTATAATTTGTGCTAGAAACATGAACAATTTTTAAATTTGTTTTTTAAATGTTTTTTGCTGAACTTTACTGTTTTTATCAATGCATAGAAAAGCTAGAAAACTAATAGCTATTTACTTGTAAAAAAAACTTTTTTAACAAGTTTTTTATGTAAAAAAAAAAAAACAGTCATTAATATTAATATTTAAATATAAAATATTTGGTTGTTTTTAATACCTCCATTGAAATAGTCTGCACTTTTGCAGGATTATCCAAATTGTGCATTTAAACCTAAAACTTTTTTTTAAGTTTTTAAATACTTTTTTTTAAACAGAGCAATCGTTATGTTCATTATCTCTAGTATTTCGTATTAATGTTAGAAATTGGACAATATAAAAAAAACAATTTCAGACATGCATCAAATGCGGTAAATACATTTATTAAAGAAACCATGTTATTCTTTTATTTAACTTATACCGTCATTACAAAAATTATTAAACATTTTACAAATAAATAACAATTAATTTTATTATTTTCCTATTATATAAGTATTGAGAAAAAAACATCAAATATAGCAAAAATATTTTTAAAATCAAAAAGACGTTCAAAACAAATAAATATAAGAGAAAAAGTTAACAAAATTTCTCATAGTTCAATGGACTGATATATTATTTATAAATTATCAAAATTTAAATTATAAAAAATTTAAATTAAAAAAAATAAATTATTTTACTTCAGTTCAAGGAAATTTTTTTTTAGTTCAAGGAAATTTTTTTCCAAAAAAATATTTTAACCATATACTTAAACTTAACGAAATACAAATCAATTTATTAAATCAAATGATATGCATGCTTATGCTTTTTTTTTTAAATTAGACATTTTTATTTATTTAATTCATTTTATTTTAAACCCGTTTTATGTTATTAATATTATAAAAATTATAAAAAAACAGCGTTAGGAAGTTGTTTTATATTAACACAAGCTCTTTATATTGTCAAAATAGGCAGTTTGTTTTATTGTTGTCTTATAGCTTTTTACAATAACAATTCATCAGCATGAATGTGTATTAAATAGTTTTCTACAACTAATTAAAGTGGTTTAAATATTTTAGTATTTGTGTTTTTACTTTTTACTGAACTTTTACTTAAGTATCATGTTAAGTAAAAACAATTACTAAAAGTAATATGGTAATAGTATTAAATACTTTACTTGCTCATTACCTCATAACTTGCTCATTACACTAACTGCAACTAAATTATAACAGTAAATTACACTAGTTTAAACTCCGCCAAACAAGAAAATTATAAGATAATATTTAAATATGAGAAACATTGTTAAAAAAATTACAATTACGAACTTATGTTGAAAAAATGCAATTTTATACTAACCCGATCCACTCCCTCTTACCACAGTGTATTGCCATGGATGAGGAGGGTTGAATTTTTTTTTGCAGTTAGATTTTTTTAGTTAATTCGAGCCCTGAGCTATATAACATATATGCAGTTGTATACAAATATCTATATTGGAATACAAATGCATATATACAGTAATGCATGTGTGCTATTTATAAAAAAAAAATATTACAAAAGTTTTAAAAATGAGTTTTAAATGTGTACTTTAAATGTTAGTAAACTATTGATTAGTTTAAAGAATTTTTTTTTACAAAATAAGAAATATGAGAAGTTAATTAGGTTTGTAATTAGGTAATAAAAATGTTAGGTTTGTAATTTTTTAATAAAAGTTTATTTTATGGCACTTTTTTTAGAATTTTGGCATGTTTATTTAGAAGTTTGGCATGTTTATTTAGAAGTATAGTATAGTAGCAAACATATTGGGCTCTTTCTGGAATATATTTTTCTATATATATATATGTGTATATATATATATATATATATATATATATATATATATATATATATATATATATATATATATATATATATATATATATATATATATATATATATATATAACAAAAACAGCACTACTGATGATTTTTTGAAAGGCCTCTAGTGCTAAAATTTATAATTAGAGTAATTTTTGTAAAATCAAAAAAGAAAATATTTCGATTATTGTTTATTTTGTTGACTAATTTTTTTACTTATTGGTTATAAACATATTTCAAGTTTTATATATATATATATATATATATATATATATATATATATATATATATATATATATATATATATATATATATATATATATATATATATATATATATATATATATATATATATATATATATAGTATTGGACAAAACATTTGCAACCAACATCGAACAATGCTAAAAAGTGTTCCTAATTTTACATGTCTTAAAAGCGAAACGCACTATACTACCACAGCAAACAGTTCTGGAGTCTGGAGTCATAGCATGCCATGACATGAGCTATCAGCCGACAGGTGAGAATTTTGTTGACAAGTGCTATTTTGCAGCGTACAAAACAAGTGCAATTTTTTTGGTTTGTTTCATTTTCTTAAGTCTGGTCTGTGTCAACGCCACAGAAGTTTTTTAATAACTAAAGGAAGTTTCCAGAAATTTCCAGAAGCATGCAAAAGCTTCCAGAAGTTTTCAGAAGAAGCATCTGGAAGCATCCAGAAGTATCCAGAACAGGTTCACACAGGTTCATTTTACTATATAAGAGACATGTAAACCGACATGTAATTCAGTCAGTATATGGAAATCAATCAGTCAGTATTATCAAGACAGTTTATCGAAGTAAGTTTTATCAAAGTATTTAATCGAAGAACATCAATACAACAAGTATTTCATTACATCAATACAGTCCACATCCAATCAAGACGTTGTGTTCCACAGAGTATTATTGTATCATCGCAAGGTAAATGTAACATGGTAAGCTTTGAGAAGCGTGATTATTTATTTTTATTATTCTTATGACTCCAAGTGCAAAAATGGCTCCCGACAGTCTTGGATTGGTACTAAAAAAGAAAATTATTGGCGATTACGTAAGTGGAATGTCACAAAAAAGTATTTGTGATAAATATCGCGTGAAAAAATTGACCGTATCAAGACTATGTTCCAAATATCGTTCTACGGGGAAGTTGGCAGCAGATAACAAAGGTGGAAGACCGTGTTCCACCACTTCTAGAGAGAATACTATGATCGTCAGAATTGTCAAGAAAAATCCCTGGATATCATCAGTCGAGATACAAAAGCAATTAAAGCTGCCTGTATCAGACCGAACAATCAGACGACGTGCTGTTGAAGCCGGATTGTTTTCTCGACGCCCTGCTAAAGAACCAGAAGAAAAGACTCCTGTTTGCTACATCTCATATTGACTGGAATGTGCAGAAATGCCAAACTCTCCGTTCAGTGATGAATCAAAGTTCAACATCATTGGGAGCGATGGCATTTGCTGTGTACGTTGACCAGCCGGAAAACGCCTTGATTTACGTTACTGCCATAAGACTGTGAAGCATGGTGGAGGCAATGTAATGGTCTGGGGGTTTTTTTCTGCTAACAGTCTAAGTCCAATACATCGAATCGATGGAATAATAACCCGTTTCATGTATAAAAATGTCCTGAAAAGATGTTATGTTACCTCATGCTGAATGGAATATGCCAATAAAATGGGTTTTTCAGCAAGATAACAATTCGAAACACACTGCAAAAGTGTGTTTCGAATTGTTATCTTGCTGAAAAACCCATTCAATCAGTGGTTTCAAGACAACCACCTATCGGTGATAAATTGGCCGCCTCAAACCCCCGGATCTCAACCCTATCGAGAACCTGTTGGAGATCGTCAACCGCAGAATTAATTGTGAAGGTGTTCATAAAAAGGATCAACTGTTTGAACAAATCTAAAAGGCCTGGGCAGCGATTCCAAAAAGTTTAATTGATTACCTGATCGAATCTATGCCTCGAAGATGCAAGGCTGTGATCGATAACAAAGGATTCGAAAACGGAATATTGATAGCAAAATACAATTTGGTCAACATTTTGTGGAGTTACACTTGTTTTGTCCAGAAGGAAATTAACTTTTTTTATACTTTCAATTAATTTATTAATTTTCGTGTACAAATAATGAACTTTGTGATGAATAAAACTTTAAGAAAGTTGTCTCTAAACAGTTACAAAGTTGTTTCTCTAAAATGAAAAAATGCAGCACTTTTATATAAAGAAACTAAATTAGTATTATTTGGTTGCATTTGTTTTGTCCGATACTCTATATATATATATATATATACATATATATATATATATATATATATATATATATATATATATATATATATATATATATATATATATATATATATATATATATATATATATATATATATATATATATATATATATATATATATATATATATAGGCTTTGGCAAGAAGAAATCAGTGCGAGAGCAGCGAAAAACTCTCCTAAAACGAACATGGCGAGCTATGCGAGCTGCTCCTCTAAACAGCTTCTTAGGAGGGCTTTTGGTTTTTGCAAGAGCTATCTTTTTATTCATTTAAAAAATGGCTTATTAATTACAAAATTTTGGTTTTATACTTGTTACAAGTCCAGGGCACAACAAATTGTTTTTTTTTTAATGAATGTTGACATTTGTATTTTTATTTGTATTTGTATCTTTACTTTATTTATTTGTATCTTCAGAGGGTTTGCGACGTGTTTTTTTGCTTGCAAACTCATTTATTGTGCCTTCATAATTTAATTTCCTTCCAATCTCGTTCTTAATCGACAGCATCGCTAAAGAAGACAAACATGTATCAACCATTGTTTACCTAATTAAAGATACAAAAAAGTATAACTACATGTATTTATATATAATGAGGCAAGATTATTTATACTAACCTGTGAAAAGTTTTAACTTGATGAAGCTACATTCTTCACTTGCAACAGTAACTGGTAAAGTAAGAATGATTCGTAACGCAATAACTAGATTGGAATAAGTTTCTTGCAGCTCTTCTTTTTAGATGTAGTTTAGGAAGTCATATGTAGTTTTTAGGAGAGTATTTCCTTCCTCCTTTATAACTGTGACAAATAGTTTCAACTCCATTTCTATATCCTCAGAATCTATATTACCAAGCTTCATTTGCAAACTTTTGCAAAATGTAGACAGAGAATTTTCATTACAGGCTTCAATAAGACTTTCAGATTGGTAAAGAAAGTCATAAAAGGTTTGTTACAATGCTGATCTGTTTAAAACGCTCTTTTGCTGATGCAATTGACATATCAATTAGTAGCAAAAAAAAATCTGCTTTATACTGATGTTCAAGTTGCCGATTGTGATCAGCACACTTGTTTTCTAAATAAGAATCTAATTCATAAAAAATTGATTCAGTTACTATTAAGAAAAAAAATCTTTTTTAAATACAACTTGAAGTGCATATAAGAGAAATATAAATTGAAGTGTTACAACTTCAATTGTTGAAAAATAATTACTTTTTAATTGAAATTTTAACTATCAAAAACGGTATCACATATATAAGTTATATTAAAAATTAAAATCAAATTTTTTTTTATGAAAGTTTTTAAAAAAAAATTTCAAATTAGAACAATAATAATTTTATTGTTTTTTATTGTTATCTAATTATATAATAGAATGAATTAATGATAACATTAAAATGTTTAGAAACTTTCATAGTTTTTCTTCGATATCCTGAAAATGTTAAAAATGCAACAATAGATTTTTTTTGTAATGCTATGAAATAGTTTTAGTTTAGCAAAAAAAAATGTAAATTGTTAGCTGCAGAATAATTTTTTGTATTTTGTTATTTCTTTTACAAATTTTTCAACAATATTTTGAAGTTTGACATTTTTTAGGAGTGGTAGTTACCCCAGTGCCATGGCAAGTTGGTCTGCCATGGCACTGGGGTAACTACCATGGCAAGTCGGTCTGCCATTTTACAAAATAGATAGCTGTTTATTTTCTCTCCTTCCTCTATTTTTAAAAAAGGCGTAATATATTACAAACTATAAACTTAATTTTAAAATTGCTTATAGTTCTTGTATTAATAAAGTAATTTCTTAAGATATTGACTGATAAAAGTCATTCATTGCATATTAAGAAATCTTTTTATTGTCATTAAAATCTGTTTTTATTTTCTGATTGTTTTTTTATGCTTGTGTTAAATTTTCACAGCACTTATGTCAAAACATGCAAACAGCAAATCGAGTTGTTTAACAATATATTTTATGTGCATCCGGTTGCATACATTTTCCAGGAACCACATGTACTTCCTGGGAAGGCCTGGGAACTACATGTACTTCATGTAGCAGTATAAAAATGTGTTGTTTTTTTTTACTAATTTTCTCTTTCTCTCTTTAAGAATATTGAACATACCTTTTGTAATATGTGCTTTTACACACTCTCGCACACACATAATTTTTAATGTATTCAATAAAATAAAGTGTTCTTTTTAAAAGAACAGCATTGTAATAATTTAGTCATCTAATTGATCGTCAACTACTAATATATGTGTGTGTAAGTATATATATTTTTTTATATAATTAATCTACTAGTTTCAAAGTACAATCCAACAATATGTTAAAGTATTAATGGATGGAATGCCAAGTAAATGTGGTCTCCCACGATATGAGTATGGCTCCGCAGGTAAGTTTGTTTAGTTATCTTTTGTGTTTTTAAAATGTTTTTAACATCTAAATTTATACAAAATGTTTTGATATCTAAATTAATACAAAATTCTGTTTTTTTAAAATAACTTGGTACAATAAATAAGGTATTTATTGTTATTATTTATTGATTGAAATTTAATGGATTAATATAATTAGCTTAATTTGTCAGTCAGGTTGACTATCAGGTATGATCATAGTTTGTTGGTCAGGTTGGCGCAAAATGACCATAGTTTGTTTTTAAAGGTTAAATTGTGTTATAAGTATTTAACTTTAGACTAAATAAGTAATAAAAAATAAAAAATTGTCTTCAGTCAGACCTGGTATAACTTAAGTCAGTTTATTAAACAAAATGATTTTTTAATGAATCTAAAAATATGGCAACAAATAAGAGTTTTTTTTTTTTTACAAAACAGTTTCAAATTAATCTAATATTAGTTTGCATTTTTTTATTATTATTAAATGAATATAAAGTTGATAACTTTTTAACTAAGTGAATATAATTTTAACAACTAAAAAGTTAGCAATAATAACAAAAGTTAGCAATAATAACAAAAGTTAGCAATAATAACAAAAAACTAAAGTTATGAAACCTAGAGCAAAAACAAAAAAACAAAAAAAAGCATGTATAGGCAAAACCTTTTTATTTCCATAGGGTATAGGTCAACATGAGATATAAAGTGATTTTAAAAAAGATTATATTTACCTCTTGAAAATAATGACAAAAAATAATTTTAATTAATATTTTCTTTTTTTTTACAATTTAACGAAGTGGTTTTGCTAGCATCTTAGAGCACAAAAAGCAAACTTAAAAATCCTGTTTTACCTCACTTTTATCTTGTCTTTAAAATCTTTATAAATCAATTAATGTTAGCAATACAAGTCTTTAATTTTGAATTTACAATATCATTTTACAGGTGTTCTGGAATTTTATAATGCAAATCTAGAGTCGATTATGCAATATCGTGATCTAAAAACAGAAGTGTTTCAAGCATTTAGAGAAGTTGGCAACATCATTATATTTTGCTTGCAAGTTGAAGAACAAATGGTAAAATGTTTGAATATTTTTATTAGCTTGTGACCTAGTTTATACTATTGGCTTGTTTGTATTTTTTTAATATTTTTTTAATTATTTTTAAGACACAAGAAGAAATTGCTGATTTGTTGCATGCTGCTCCATTTCAAGGAATTATACCACGCCCATTTGTAAAAGGTTGGTGTGTGCTTTAAAATGAGTTTTTCTTTTAAAGTTATTGTGTGTGTTTCTTGTTGTATATTTTCAGATAGTTTTGAAATCAAGTTCTTTTAAATGTGGATCAACTGTTTTATAAATGTGGATCAACTCTTCTTTATTTCACAAATTTTATAAGTGATCATTCTGGTTAAAAAGTATTAGGAAAAAATTCATAATAATTTTTTATATTAATTTAGCTTTCAGCTAGTGATTTTCTCAATTTTTATGAAACTTTTCTCAAACTTTGTATGGACGGTGGTTAAAAAAATTAAAAAAGCAAATATATTACAAAATGATTTATTTAAATTTACATTTTTATGCAGCTGTGGTGTATTGGTTAGAGTTTTGGCTTCAGAACAGGAGTCTGTGGTTTAAAGCTGGGTTTAAACATATATGCATCACTGATAAAAAAGGAGGCGTGGACTTCCTGGTTAAAAGTCTATTTAAAAGAGTAAATTAAAATTGTTCACAGTTCTCTAATATAAAAAATAAAAATTTATTATTTACTCATTTATAAGACTTTTCTGAATATATATGTGTGAGTGTGTGTGTGTGTGTGTGTGTGTGTGTGTGTGTGTGTGAGTGTGAGTGTGTGAAAACAGTCTAGTTTTTGTATGTAGTCGTTTTTGTATATATTTATATATATATATATATATATATATATATATATATATATATATATATATATATATATATATATATATATATATATATATATATATATCTTCTATAGCCTATTTAGATAAGCATTTGTTCACTAGTTTTGCTTATCTTTATAGCATACCGCAATCCTTTAGTGTCAACTTGCACTTTGCTGCAAGTCAGGTTATTTGTCAGTCAATGTATGTACTGATGCCCCCCGGCAGCAAGCTATTTCAGTGTGATGTCAGAGTGCTTATCTGAACAAGCAATTTAAGTTTTTACAAGACAGGTTTAACATGTTTTAAAATGTTTTAATGCATTTTTTAGACATTTAAAGTCTTTTTTTAGTCATTTTAAGTCATTTAAAGTCTTTTTTTTTAGACATTTAAACTCAGTTTGTGTTTATTAGAATGTTAGAGTGTTTCAAAAAACAACTCTTTTTAAAAAAATATCTGCCCTTTGATTTGTACTAAATGATAAAATAACACTGGATTTAAAAATTTTTTGAATAAAAAATTATCATTGATGCCTTAAGGCCCATAAACATTTACCAAGTCCCTATTATTAATAAAATGAAGGTTTTTTAAAAGTATGTTTGGGTCTCATGGGAAATGAAATAATACAATAACAAAAATTGTTGCCATTTTAAACAAGTTATTATTTTAGATATTTATGCATAGAAAAAGACATTTTTAATTAAAAATGAACAAAGTACATTTTTACAAGTTTTTATGATAATAACTTTTGTTGTTGATATTATTTATGAAATGATTATTATTTTTAAAATTTTTATATAGTTTCGCTTCATTTGAGACCCAATAAGACTTACACTTATAAGACTAAACCTTTTTTTTATTATTAGGTCTTACTGAGCTACTGGGGAGTTCAGTACATACATTGACTGGTATAGGGAAAACATGCAAAGTGAGTTGCTGCTACATTGACTAAGGGTTGGGGTTGGAGAAGTAATAGGTTTTTTCATTATTCTTGCTGTAAGATTGGTTAATTATGGTTGAATTCTAATTACACAATTTTTAATGAAATATTCAAACTTATTTATTATTTAGAATTCATTATTTATTTTTTGGATAAATAAATAAAGAGTAAACCAAATATAATTATGTAAAAAAATTTATGTTATATTACTGCAATTAATCAAGTTAGTTTTTAATTTGAAATCTATTGTTACAAAATTAAGAAAAAATACACTAAAATAACTTTAATTTTATTCAGTAGTTTTGAATCTAATTGTTTTCTTTCCACCATAAGACTATAAGAAATTATGTATATAAGAAATATATGAAATTCATATTTTATATTTTTATACTTTTGTATTTTTGTTTGTCTCAATTACAGTCTGTTAAACTAATATCTTTTAACTTGTCTTTTTTTTTTTTTTTGACCTTTTAAATCAATATAGATAATATTTTGGTAACTGCAAAGGATTATATTTATGATAATAATACCTATTAAACCTGTAAATCTACCTAAACTCTGATCAATCTATAGATGTAATAAAAATCTTCTATTTCTTTTTTACTGAAACTTTTCTCTTTTGCTATTACTGAAACCCCTTTCTATTTCCTTTTTAGTAATTCAGGGTTTTTCTAATTTTTTTTTTTTTTAATTGTTTATAAAAGATATTTTATGATAGTCAAAATCTTTTAAAATAAAATTTGTGATAATATTGATTTTATTATCAGAAAACAATTGTTTAGAAAAAGATACTGTTGAAGCAAAAATGAAACGTTTAGAAGCTCAGTATGCTGCCTTTCAACTTGTTTCTTTGGTTACTCGATATGGAACAGATGAGGTTTGTTGATAATTTTTTATTGGCTGTACCTTATTACTTTAAAAATATGTTTATAAAATAAATTTATTTATATACAGTGGTAGCCAAAAAAATAGGTGTGAATATAAAGTTTTATTTATTTACTAATTATCTTAAATTTTGATAATTATATTACTACTATGAACTCATTCATATATAAAAAAGAACTGTTTTATAATAAGGTGTTACTATTTTTGTTTCTTTCTGTCAGTTAGTATCATATATACGCATAATTTTCTTGATAGTTTAATAAACAGCAACAATATATATATATATATATATATATATATATATATATATATATATATATATATATATATATATATATATATATATATATATATATATATATATATATATATATATATATATATATATATATACTCCTCTAAGAAAATTCCATTAATCTGTTTTTTTCCATGGCTGATTTATTTAATTTAAACCCTATTAAAAAATTGCTGAGCTAAAATAATACCAAAGATTTTTTAACAGAATTCAATTGCATACAGATCTAAAAGAAGCTATAATAAAGATAGACTAATCTAAAAGTTCAAGGAGCCATATAAAGTACTAAAATATGATTTATATTATGACTTAATCATTTGTTATTAGAGTTTATCCTTAAAAAAAAATTTAAATTGTATACAATTTTTCCACATTATATTCCTGATTAATGTTATGAACTTGCTCTTAAATTCTTTTTTAGGTATTTTTTTGTTTTTCTCACATAATGGAATTTTTTTTTTATTTTTATAACACCAAACTCCATTTAAAAGTGTTTTCAATTATTTAAAGAGAATTATTTTATTTTTAACATGAATAATCACGATTAACATGAATAATCACGATTAACAATTGTTTCACATTAGATTCCTAATTTTTGTTATGAACTTGCTGATATATTCTTTTTTAGGTCTTTTTTTTTTTTTTTAATCTTATTTTATTTTTATAACAGTAAACTCCATCTAAAAGTCATTTGAAATATTTAAAAAGAAATATATATTTTTTTAACATAAATAATCACACAAAGTTTTGAATTTTGTTTATTCTAGTTATTTTAAATATAATTTCTACTAAATATTGTCAATACTAAGTTGAGCATATTTTCATATTTGTGTGGTTTGACAGAGTTTCCAATTTATTCAAATTAGATATTATGTAAGCAATTTTTTACAAAGGGATGCCCTTTCTGTCATTAACCTGATTTGCAGATTGGGACAGTAGTTTTATTGTGATACTTCCAATCAGGTTGCCTTCCGAGATTTACCACCATAACCACCATAAATTATGAGATTATAATTTAGAAATTTTTATTTTCCTAAGTTACCTTAGCTTATGCTTGAGAGCCTCGCCTGCCTCAAGATCATTTGTCTTGGTTATGACATGGCCAAAGCAATGTAACTTTACATATCATCAATGACTTCAAATTATTACGTTGCAAGAAATACATATAAAGTTAGCTAATTTTCGTATTTGTTCTTAGAAAAAATCTCAATTAAACTAATCAAATAAATCAAGTAAAAATTAGGAAAAGACTTTAATTTTTATTTCTTACAATTATATAAATATTAAATAATTATTACAGTGAACATTATTTAAAGTGTTTTTATTTAAGGAAAAAACAGTGTTTAATATAAGTATTTTAATGGAGAAAGTTATTTATTATTGATTTTCTATTTTTTTTTCTTAAATTTATCTTTGTTTACTCTATGAATTTCAACAGTGCTTCCATCATTAAGTAGCGAATCATCATCTTCTTCTAATGCATTGCTTTTTGTTCTATATGTAACTCTCATGTTTAAACCTTGCATGTATTCATATGATTTTAGTTTTTCTTTTTCACGAATGCGCATTTCATATTTAAGTGCATCAACTACATCATCATTGCGATAGAAATAGAAATACATAATTTCAAGTGCCAAAACAATGTTGAGAATTGGTACTGCAATCATAGCTACATCTTGAAATATTTTTGTATCTGAGCTTATTGCTAAGGTAGATATGATCCACATTATGCAAAAAGTAGGAGTTATTGCGAATGAGGAAAGATTACTTCTTTCTGCACGTTGGTAGTTAATATCTTTTGCTAATTTTTCAGGTGCTTTTTGGATTTCTATATATGTTATATACTTTAGTGAAATAATTACAAGCAATATCGAAAGAATTGGTCCACCAAAGTACCAAATCTCAAGACCTTTAATATATGGCCAGCAGTATCTAAGTTCAGTGTAGTTCTGGTATGGAAAACCCAGTAACGCAATGGTAACAGCTAACGGAAAACCCCAACCAATTATATGATAGAAAGATTCCGAGTTTGTTGTTTTGTTGAAAAAATGTCTCAAGTTCGATAACTGATGCACAGCTTCAATCATAACCCATGTAATAGTTGCAACATGAAAAAATTCAATCATTGTTGAACAGGATGTACATCTATTCCAATCATTTTTCCATGCCCATGATCCCAGAAATACCATTTGTGATAGCAAGCAAGAAAATGCGATCCATATATGTATTCTATTGTAAACATTTTTAGTGCAGTCAAGTAAATAGATTCCAAATATATAGAGAAAGAAAATTATACCTGCAATCAATGTAAGAAAAATATTCATTACATTTAGTGGATCAATTGGTATTGGTGGAGAAGCCACATCAGGCTCCATAAGTAAAGCAAAAATCCCACCATGTGTAGACCTGCATACTGTCATTGAAGCATTAGTCTTAAAAACACGCATTCCATAGTTGCTCCAATATCCACCAGAATTTATTGATAAAGTAGCTTCAGCTTTTGTAGGTTGCCAATAAATGCACACTGGATTTCTGTATGCAGTATCATAATGAGTAAATGAAATGATCATTTCTCCAGGTAGTGGATTTATTGGATAGTTTTGCCCTTGAACATCTAATGAAATAACAGCTGAGTTAATAACATAGGTTTTGTTATATACTAAATTTTTTTCTACACGATAGTCAATAAATACTCCAGAAATGATTGGATCATAATCATTCCATTCATTTTTAAATCGAGTGTTTTGTCTTGGTATTTCTTGGCCCTGCTTGACTATATTGCTATAAATTATAGCTGTGTAAGTATATACACCGTTTGGTAAATTTCCAAAAGGTGCTTCAATTGTGTCATTACGTGTGTTCCATCTTCTAGTAGGAAAAGTACTAGCAATACCATAGTCCGGAACTCTCATATCTCCATAACGGAATTGTTGTCCTATGTTCCAAAGAAAATTCTTAAACAGTTGGTATTGTGATATGGAACTTGTACAGCTTCTATAATTGATTTTGTTAAGTTGCGCCCCAAACTTATTTAAAAAAAGTGCAAAAAGCATTGGCTCATTTTTATATTTTGCCATAGGTGATTGGTTCATAATATTTTGACAGTTAAAGTATATATTTGTTTTATTGAGTATTTGAGTAACACAATCATCACACGGTTTTAAACAACTGGAAATATCTAAATTCGCCTCCCAATTAATTTCATTGCAGAATTTTATCTCCAGTTCCAGAGGACTTAGTGTAGGTTGAAGTGCTTTATAATAATCTAAAGTAATGTAAGGTAAGTATTGATTAGTATTTCCTGGAAACAATTGATAAACACAATTTATTATTGTGGCTGAAGTTGCATTGTATATAAGTGTAGACAACTTGTTACTAACACTGACAGAATTATTTGTAAAGATTTTTGGTTTGAAAGATTTTGGTATTGATGTATTGCTTGTTGGGAAATAGTTTTCTAATTGCAAAAGATTAATGCAGTCTAAATCGCTTATAGCAGTTCCATCTGTTGCCCACAACAAAAATAGCGATATCTAGAAATAACAGACAATTTTCGATTAGAGATATTTATTTACAATAATAATAATGCTAATACTAATAAAATCAAGTGTGAGAATACTAATAATAAACGTTTTCTCTCGTTTATTAAATACCTCAGAGTACAGGTGAAACAGTTGGATAATTTTGCATCAATGTATTTGATAATGCAAAACTTCCCACTTCTTTAACCTGTAGATCTAGCTTTAATGTTATTACCGCCGATTTTTTTATTACTGGACTTTCCACAAATGAGCAAGTTTTGAGACAAAAATTATGAATACTAATCTCGCGATATCTTTATTTATGTATATATATATATATATAATATTTTATATTGTTTTAGACTTATCTACTTGGTATTTAAATGATTTATTTTAATTTTGAAAATAGATTGAAATTAATCAACTCAATAGATAATTTATAAGAAATAACTTAATGTTCTACATATTGTTTCTAATAAAATAAATCTTGAATATTGCAAAAAGAAACCTACAATTATTTTTGCCACAAACATTTTTGCTTACTTCCATCCAGGTTTTATTTTTATTTTTTTGTATGAAAAAAATTTTTTTACACCGTGCGTAAAAAAAAATTTTTTCACGCACGGTGTGTTGTATTTGAATAATAAATAAATTATGTTGTCATGGTTATTGAATTAATATACAAGCTGAGGTTAACAAATATAGAGGTTAAGAAGTTGAATTCAAGTTTATAACATAAATTTTATCAACTTTTAAGAAAGTAATATATACTTTTATATAAGCAATCTATATTTTTTGTTTTGATGCATAAACCTTGGTTTTTCTACAGCAACGTTTAAACAGTGAAGAATCTGATGTCATTACTAGGGAAAGACTATGTTGCGGTTTATCTCTTTTTGAAGTTGTTTTACGTAGAATTCAGTCGTTTTTGGATGATGATGTCTGGAAAGAACCGACTCCTTCAAACGGTGTTATGAGTATTGAAGAATGCAAAGAATTTCATCGCTTATGGAGTGCCATTCAATTTATTTATTGTAAACCACTCGGACAAAACGAAATAACTGTAGAGTAAGATTGTTTTTAATTTTGTTTTGAAATCTAATTTTTAATAAAAAAGCATTTTAAAGTAAACTAAACCAATTTTCAAGTTACAGTTTTATATTGCATTTAGAGAAACTTTTGGAGAGAGTTTAAACTGGGCAGGATGTACTATAATAACCTTATTGGGCCAAGAACACCGTTTTGAAGCACTTGATTTTTCTGCACATCTTTTAAGAGTTCAAGAGATAGATGCAAGACAAGAAACTGTCGCCGGTGTTGTGAGTAATTTTGCTTTTAATAATCATACTTCGAAGAGACTAGTTTATTTAAAGCTTGAGAAAAAAAAAATTACAACTTGTTTCTTGTTAATGTTGTATTTAATTTGTTGCTTTAAAGTAATTAACTTCTTATTTAAAACGTGACTGATCTTAATTTAATCATTTAATTAATTTCGTAACAGGATTTAAAACGGCTTGTGGAAAGAATTAAACAATATCGTACAATAAATAATGAAATATTTGCAGTGTTAAATAGGTACTTGAAATCGGGAGAATCTTCGTTTGAACATGTGCGCTGTTTTCAACCACCTATACATCAGGCTTTTATGTCTGCTGTGTAAAAATCATGTTATTATGTATATATTTATTATTTGTTTTGTGCTTTTTTATATTTTATGTTTTATACATTTAGTTACATTTCGTAATTTAATAAATAGTTCCATTAACAAAAATTCAAAGGTCAAAATTGTAGAAACACATTTTGTGGATGCATTACGATTATTCATATAACACGCATCAGTTTTGAAAATAACATGTTTTTTTTGTTTTTGTTTTTTTTTATTCGATGTAAAAAGATATATAAACAAATACACAAATAAAAAAACACAACAGTGTTTTTATTAATTATAAAAATAATTTGTTTTTGGTTGTATTTATAAATTTATTTTCTTACTAGTTTTATTGCTTGAGTGTTTTGACGCGTATTTTTTATATGTATTCTGTCTAATTTTTGAAAATATTGAAGTCCATTTAAAAAAACGTTTACAGTATTTTCATGCTGAAGAGATTAATTTAAACTAACTTATTATTACCTAAAACATTAGGTATTTTCAATCTTTTTATGTGTATTTAAATTGTACTCATTTATAGTTGAAAATAATTTTTTTTATAATACTTAATAGGTAGCTTTGTTTTTTATTTATCCTAATATTATACAGGTTTAACTTTATTTTTAACTTGATAACTAATTGGTTGGATTTTACCAAAATATAAAATAACAAATTTGATCGTATCCATGATCATGCACAAAAATTTTTTGTAGTGAATTCGTGTAAATTTTAAGTTTCAATAAAAAAAATATATATATTATTTTTTTGTACTTCATTTTTAGGGTGTCCCCAAAAAGATAAAGTTTTAGGAATTAAAATAAATTAATCTACCCCCTCCATATCGCTGAGCCATCCCCTTCTCAAACAAGCTGTTCTTCTGATTTTCTCATAGTTGATCATAAATTAATTATAAATTGGTATAATTATGTTAATTGCGAAAAGTTAAACAAATTAAAAAACAGTTTTCAAAATTATAAATAAGAATCCAGTCGGCTTTTATGTTGCAATCATTTTTTTTTTTTTTTTTTTTTTTTTTTTTTTTATAGTTTAATTTGTTATAGAACGAGTATAAACAATCTTTCATATAATATATTACATAAATATTATGTTATTATTGTATATGCCTTGATTAATGCATAATGTCCAGTGTTATATTAACTTTATAAGCACTGATATATTTTGTTAAAAGTTTTTTAATCGAGTCTGTTCAGTCTGTCGAAATTCATGATGTTAAAAATTTACTCTTCAAGTTTTGATAAAAGATCATGACTTTTGAGTTAAGGTTTTTCACAAATTAATACTGGTAGTTTGTAAGTTTTTGTTTCTGTACTACAAGCATCCTAATATATTTTTTTAAATTTGGTTACTTTAATCAACAAAAACATATTTTGACATGAAAAAACTTATTTGGAATGCAAAAAACATACTTAAAAGCTAAATTGAAAGTTTACTTAATCAAAATATGAATTTATGTGGAAAGAATACAAAATAAAAGTTTCATAACTTTTCCCATTGTGATTTTTTATGGTCAAAACGTTTTAAAACTTAGATGCAGTTATGTACCACTCTAATAGTGGTTAAGGGAGAGGTCCAAAACTCTATATTTTTTGTTTAACCAGTTATTCTTAAATAATTTTTCAAGGAAAGTTCAATAAACAATTTAATTTTTGCTGTTTTTTTTTTTGTGGTTGACCTTCTACCTTAGTTTTTAACATTTTAAAGAACGTAAAAATTAGAAATCTTTGCAGAGTATTCAATTTAAATTTTGATTGGATAACTTTGAATTAAAATGTATAAAAGATGCGTTTTAACAAAAATAAGTCCTATCGAGGGTAAATTTGTTTTACTTTACTTCGCTAGAAAATACTTTGCTATTAATTTTGTAAACTAAATTTAGATACCGAATAAAATGAAAAATATTGCAACAAGAAGTAATAAATAAATTAGAATTAATAAACTTCTTTAAAAATCTCCTAGTAGTTGACGAACTTAATCATACAAAGTTACCTTTACTCAGGGTTGATTTTAAACTTGTCTTTAATAAAGTCACAAATAAATTGTCTTTTGGAATGACCATTTGAGCAGTCATGACCGAATATGCCTAAATTTGTATTTCTTGACCGCAGTTACCTATATTTAGATATACAACATGTCCCATCTAATTTAAAAACTATCAAGACACCCCATGATCACCCTTGATAACTCATAAAATAACCACTTATGTGGTCATGACCACTCCAAAATTAAAATAGAGCCCAAAAATAAAATCTTTTGCTACAAAAACCTCTATAAACATATCATACGTCTATATTTAACCCATAAATAGTTTATTTTGACTTAAGATCTTCCATTAAGGTATTACATAGCAATCAGTTGGCTTTAGAAAGAATAACTCAACTGAGAATGCAATTATTCAGTTAGTACTTGAAATTCTCTTGAAAAATCTCAATTCACATTAGAAATTTTTATCGATCTTTCAAAAGCATTTGATACTGATATTTTGCTTTATAAATTTAACTATTACAGAATAAATGAAAGAGTAATTAAATGGGTTCAAGTTATTTATCTAACAGAAAACAATTTGTTTCTTGTAATGAACCTAATCATAAACAGTTTTTAAATGTTTCCTGCCGTGTTTCGTTAGGTTCCATCTTAGGCCCTCTTTTATTTTTAGTATATACTTGTATAAAGCATCAATCTTTTAAGAATTATGTTTTGCTGATTGACAAACTTATTTCTCTCTAACAGTGACATCTATCTACTATTCTCCGTGATAAAAAAAGAACTACAAAACATATCTAAATGGTTTAAAAGTAACAAATTAACATTAAATGTAAGCAAAACAAAATGGATTTTTTTCCACCCGCTCTTCACTAAACGTTCTATACCCCCAAACCTACAAAAAAATTCTTATTGACCATATTGAAATTAAAAGAGATTCTGTAACTAAATACCTGGGGGTTTTCATTGACGAGTATATATCACATGGAAACATCATATTAACTATGTCTGCTCGAAAGTTTCAAAAAGTATCGAAATTTTATATAAGGCACGTACTCATTTAAATAAAAATAATTTAACTAATCTTTATTATTCTTTTCTTCATAGTTATATAAGTTATGGAGTTATTGTCTGGTGTAGCACTGATCATAGCAAGTTACAATGTCTCTATCGCCGTCAGAAATATGCGTTCCGTTTAATTAATTCTGCGGATCGGTTCGCACATTCCTCAATAATTTTGAATCAAATAAAAATCCTCGATATATATAATAGCTAAACGTATATAAAAATTTATCTTTTGTTTATATGTGGATGTATGATTTAACTCCTTTAAATCTTAAAGACCTTTTTATTTTGAAACCATTAAGCAAGTTTAATAAGAGAATTAATAATTATTTAAATGAACAAATCTGTCGAAAAAAATTTAATCAATTTTGTATCACTTATCGTGCAGCTCATCAACAAATTTATTTTGCCTAACTTCGACTTACCCCTAACTTATACTGTTTTTAAAAATAAGTTACAAGAACTCATTCTCCCTATTGAAAATATCTTTATTTTAATTATTATTTTTAATTATAAATATTTTTAATTTATCTTGTGATAAAATTTGATTTTGATTGTCATGTATGTTCAAGTTTTGTTTTATACTTGTTTACAATTTATTTTCATTTATTTAAGTACGCTTGTTTTTATGTAGTATTATATAGTATTGTTTTTATGTTATTTTTTAAAATATTATTATAAAAAGGCTTTTTTATAATACTTTACGTTCTCTCTTTTGTAAAAATCTGATGATAAGATCATTGTGATTTAGAAGCTTTGTTTGTATTTGAAAAATATGTAATTTATATTTATTACGTCAAATGTAAACAAAAAACTCACAAAAAAAAGTTTTGTGTTATGCCTTCAATCAATCAATCAATCAATTAAATCAATCAATAATATATTCTGAAAAAAAGATCTAATTTCCACGGTTGTTTACAAACAGTTATAAAAACTAACATAAATTAAAAACTTCTTTGATGATATAAAACATATCATAGACACATAGTCATAATAATAATAATAAGAATAGCAACAAATTAACAATAGCGCAATAATAAAAATAATTAATTGTATAATAATAAGAATAACAATAATAATATTACCAGTAAGTATAATTAACACCGAATAATAATGATTAAAATAAAAACATGATAATAATAAATACAATACATGTATAACGGAACTATTAAATAAATATTAAATAGAAGGCTGTCCATTAACTACGTCAACAAAAATTATAAAAACTAGTAACTAAAAGAATTAAAATAAATCAATACAATCTTCCATACAACAATCAATTATATATACATAGTTACAGTTACAAACAGTAATAAACTGACAAAAAAAACAACGATTATTGATAAAAGATTACAAAGAATAAATATAATAGTTTTAGTTTTTATAATATTTTTATAATAACAAAAATACATTGTTAGTATAATAAACAAATAAAGAAAATATAAAACACTTATTATACATAAAATTAAGGTTAGTTAAAGTAAAAAATGCATTAAATGCATGCACAATAATACACAACATAAATATAACAATAAAAATACACATCAATATAAACGATGTATTCACTAAACAAAAGTTGAAATTTTTTCATGTTCTTTTCTTTCAATGACATTATTGTTTCTAGCAGACTAACGTATTTCATTTTGTATTTTTTTTTTTTTTTATTTTACTTTACATTTTCGAATTTCCAGCGATAGGGTAGAGCGGGGCTAGTTGAGCATAGGGGCAAGTTGGGCAACTAAAATATCTCAAAAACTACTCATCCCATGGCAAAACGTATAATGGATAAAATATAGGTATTTAGAATGGTAACAAAATGCGCATCAAATGGTTGTTGGACCGCGGTTCCGTGGACCGTGCAGTAACATGCACGGACACTTTTTCGATTTTGGGCCAAAAAAGGTAAAAAAAAATATTTTTGCCGTTTTTCTCTTAAATGCTTAAAAAAACATTTATCTGGAATCACTTAAGTGTTTATATTTTACCCATTTATTTGGCTATTGATTATACTTACCCTTTTTTCCCCAAGCCTTATAGTTCTTTTTATAACCTAACTGATGTATCGTCTCGTCTAGTAGGGATAAGTTGAGCAGATTTGACAACAATTAATAAAACGGCTTCATCAGACGTGAAAATAAAATTTCATTTGGTGAATATTTTTAAGTCCATTCACACTTTTAAATTATTATTATTTTTCAAATATGTATTTATAATTTAAAATTATTTGATTTTTTAATATTTTAAAAATATTTTTACTTCAATATTACGTGGTCAATAAAATCTTCGAGTTAAAAAGTTCTTGAATAATTTTTTTTTAATTAATCTTGTTTACTATGTTTATTATGATAATATTATGATAGTGTGCATATTTAAAAAACATATAACTTATAATTTATATTACATAAACATATAATTTAAAGTATATATAATCAAAACATATATAAAATATGATATTTCATTTCTATTTTGATTATTTATATTATATATAAATAATTTATATATATATATTATTTAATATTACTATAATAATTATAATAATAATAATAAGTCTGAACTGTAACAACTGAGAACAGATGTGGAGTACAATAACATAAGATATTGAACTATAACAGCCAATATTAGTTTTTGAATAATTAAAGTGTTTTGTCTCTACACAACTTGTAGAGGTAGTTCTTGAATTTGTCAATTGAGTCAGCGTCTACGATTTCATTTGTCAAACAATTCCATGGATAAGTTACTCTGTTGAAAAAAAAAAAATCTACACTTGCTTTTACAAAATGATTTATTCAAAGTGTATTTGTGCTGACGTAGGTTTAGAGCATGTTTAAAACTTTCATTTTTGTGAACCCAATTTATAATATCTTGATTGTGCTCAATTTTGTATTGTTGGATTAAATCACCTCGCAGCCTACGTTCTTGTAAGGTTGTTAAATTCATCATTTTAATCGTTTTTTGTAAGAAGATTTTTTGAGTAATGGTATGAGTTTGGTTGCTCTTCGTTGAATCTTTTCGATTTTATCAATATCTTGTTTCAGATAGGGACACCAAACTTGCACAGCATATTTAAGATGTGGACGCACAAATGTTATATATAATTTTTTACATCTAAATTTTTGAAAGTTCGACGAATCAAACCCAGGACTGAATTAGCTTTACAAACTGCTGCATTAATATGCAAATCCCATTTTAGATTTGATTGAATTATGACACCAAGATCACGTTCAGAATCAGCTACTAACAAAATGTGATCTTGATTTGTATCTGCATTACATATGTGGTTTGAGGATTTTTTTTGCCAATATGCATGACCTTGCATTTATCATAACTGAACTTTGTTAACCAGATTTATGACTAAATTATCCATAAGATAATTTAGATCTGCTTGCAGCTTTATAGGATCTTTAGCTGATTTTATAATGTTTATTATTTTACTGTCATCTGCATACAACATTATATAGTTTTGGATATTATCAGGTAAGTCATTGATAAAGATTAAGAATAAAAGTGGCTCTAAAACTGAGCCCTGAGGTACACCACTGATAACTGGTAACCAGTTTGATACATAATCTCCTAGAATAACTTGCTGTCTTCTGTTATGTAAAAAATCTTCTATCCATTTTAAAATATCTCCAACAATACCGTAAGATTCTATCTTTTTTATTAATCTGGCATGTGGCACTTTATCAAACGCCTTAGCAAAATCTAAATACAACAAATCTACTGAATAATTCTTTTCTAAGATATCTGTAATTATATCTAATGTTTCCAACAAATTAGTGACACAATTTTTATTTTTTCTAAACCTGTGTTGATTTTCATTTAATACACCATTTTCAATTAGATGATCCATAACTACATCATGGATAATTGAATCAATTATCTTAAATGGAATTGATGATAAAGATATTGGTCTGTAATTAAGTACATCATTTCTATCTCCTTTTTTAAACAAAAGAGAAATATTTGCATATTTCCATAAATGAGGTAATTTTTTTTCTGATAATGACTTATGGTATAATAATGATAGTGGTATGCTTATAGTTTTACAACACTTTTTTAATACATAAAGACTAATTCCATCAACACCAATAGCTTTATTAACATCAAGTTTTTGAAGTTTTTTTTCTATTGTTTTACGACTAGTTATATCATTTATATTAATAAGTAGGGTGCTATTCGTTTTAGGTACTATATATGAAATATTTTTTGTATCTTTATCTACAAATACGGAATTAAAACTATTATTCAACACGTTTGCTATATCATCTTCATTGATTACAATGTTTCCATCCATATCATAAATAGAGGTTATTCCTTTTTTTATTTTCTTGGAAATATTTGCATAGTTAAAAAATAACTTTGGATTATGTTTAGACAAATCTACAATTCATTTTTCGTAGATTAATCGTTTTATGTTAACCTGCTGTTTTACTAATTTGTTTTGTTGATTGTATTGTTGCTGAAGAAACAATGATTTAAATTTATTTGATGCCAATTTGCTCCATAATTTATACTTTAATCTTATTGCTTGTTTGACGTCTTCATCAATCCATTGTTTTACATTAGATACTTTTATTGCTCTTTTAGGTATATATTTATTACAAGCTTCATGGTATATGTTTGTAAAAATTTGATAACATTCGTCTATATTCTTATTAATAAATACTTTTGGCAAACTAATTTGTTCAAAATAATGTTCTAATTGTATATATTTTCCCATCTTATAATTGAATAGCAATTTACCATAATTTGATTTTAACTTAATACTCTGATGGTTGAATAGATATTTAAAATGTAATACATGATGTGCTGTATCAATATTTCCCATAGGTGGATAATGAACTATTTTTGTTATACGATCAGGACATTCAGAAAAGGTTAGGACAAGTATATTTAAAGTTATGTAGTTGTCAGAATTAAAAGTAGGTTGAATAACATTTTGAATCAGATATGCTTTACTCACTGTATCAATAAACTTTTGAGCATGTTGATTAGAACTTGTTAGAGTTTGAATACCTTCTTTCCAATTAATGTTAGGATAATTAAAATCTCCAGCAATTATAAGACCAGAAAGAATATTTTTATCAATATAATTTTTTGCAGCAGTTAATGCATTATTTATTTTATGATCTGCTAATTCTGATGAGTCAGAAGGGCGATATATACATCCAACTAAAACCAAATCGTATTTGGTCTTAATAACACACCAAATTTGCTCTATTGCATTATCAACCAGTTCAGCAACTTTTGGAGTAGATACTGTATATTTCTCTTTTATATATATAGCAACACCTCCACCTCGGTACTTTAAAGAATTTGATGTAGATCTATTTGTGTAAAAAACATTGTATTCAGGCACATTAATTATCAAACATTCAGCAAACCATGTTTTGGTAATTATATATATATATATATATCTGGATTATAAGTAGATATCTTCTACAAAAATAAATCAAGCTTATTGTTTAGTGAAGATGCATTTGTATATCTACAAGTTAAGCTATTCTCACTACTTTTATAGTTTTTCGTTAAATTATTTGGTGCTTTGTTATTTAAATATGATTTCATTTTCCCTTGATTATATAGAATATTGGATATGGTATAAATTAGTATGATTAAATAGAAAAGTTTAAATTTTGGTATCTTAAAGGAAAAAAAGTTGTTAGTGCATCTGCTAAAGAATTTGACATCAAGAGAATGACATTAGCAAGATAAATTTTAAAACTAAACTCTGGTGGTTACCCATCCATGGGTTGTTCAAAATCTAAATTAATTTTTTCCCAAGAGCAAGAAAGCGCCTTAAAAATTATTTATTGCAAATGGCATCTATATTTTACGGCTATACTCCTAAAGATGTTAGATCTCTTGCTTATGAGTGTGCTTTTCAATACAAAATCAAAATACCAGATTCTTAGACAGTAAATAAGATGGCTGGTGAAGAGTGGATGACTAGTTTTTTAAAAAGAAATCCTCAATTATCTATAAGGAAACCTGAAGCAACTAGCCTTGGTAGGGCAACATCATTTAACGCTGATAATGTAAAAGTATTTTTTGATAAGCTTGGTGAAGTTATGGATATATAAAAATTCAGTGCTTCACAAATATGGAACGAAACTTTTGTATCTACAGTTAAAACTTAGTAAGATTGTGATTGTAAAGGGCAAGAGAAATGTTGGTGCTATGACATCTGGGGAAAGAGGCACTAATTTCACAATGGTAACTGCTGTATCTGCTTCAGGAAATATGGTACCTCCAATGTTTCTGTTCCCTTGCAAAAATTACAAAGATTATTTTGTTGATAGTGGTCTACCGGACTGTATTGGGGTAGGTAATGGAAGTGGCTGGGTTACAGATATTGAATTCAAAAATTTTTTGCAGCATTTGATTAGGCATGTGAAGCTTTCAAATGAATATAAAATTCTGTTGATTTTGGAAAATTACTCTTCTCACTTACATTTCGAAACACTAAACTTTGCAAAGGAGAATGGAATAGTCATGTAGTCTATCTCACCACACTGCAGTCATAAGCTGCAGCCACTAGATGTATCAGTGTTTGGACTATTTAAAAAGTACCTATCAGTTGCACAAGATGCATGGCTGAGAAACAATCCTGGAAACGCCATAACAATTTATGATATACCAAAAATTGTATCTTATTCATTGCCATTAGTTATAACGTGTACTAACATTACAAAGGGTTTTCAAAAAACTGGTGTATACCCGTACAATGCAAACATTTTTGCTGCTGCTAATTTTTTACCACCATTTGTCACAAATTGTATAAGAACCAGCAAATCTCGTTTTTGAACTATCAACGTAGCTCATTCTAAAGTATGTTTAACATCATTTTCAGGTCAATCTCACAAAAGTAGTATTAATAAAGAGACAACATTACTTATTCCTGAAACTCCTAAAGCATTTTCTCCAGAAACTATGCGACCTTACCCAAAAGCAGCACCAAAATTTGACAAGACGAAGAAAAAGAAAAGCTGCTATTCTAACAGATACTCCAGAAAGAATTATATTAAAACAGCAGCCAACTAAGAAACTTAAAAAAGTTAAGAAACAAAAAAAATTATGTACTTGTCAATTCCTTTCAGATATTAATAAAGAGTGTGGTAATAAAAAGACTCAATTACATAGTATATTTAAAAAAGTTGAGAAACAAACAAACAAAAAAACTAAGAAAGAAATTTTAAAGAAACCAATCTGCCAGTCAATCCTTTGCTGATCATGGTAATAAGGAGGCTCTGCTGCTTAGTATATTTAAAAAAGTTAAAAAACAATCAAACAAAAAAAACTAAGATGAAAAAAAATTAAAGACGTGCAGAACACGATTATGCTTTTCTGGTATGTTGGGAAACTTATTCTGAAAGTCTACCAGAAGAAAATTGGATCAAGGTTGCAATAATCTCATTCAAAATGTGATTCACATTCTGGTCAAAATTATATTTGTATTAACTGCGATATGGAAATTGAAGACTAACATAAAGTGTTTAGTTATTATTTTATCATGATTTTAACAAGTTTTGTTTTAAAATGTTTTAAAAAAGTTGTGTTTAGTTTTAAGATTGAAAAGTTTTGTTTTTGTTTTTATTTTAGTATCAAAATTATTAGTATTGATATTCATATCTTAAATAATTTGTTTAAGTTGAAAGTATATATTTAATTTATAAGGAAGCTATGTTTTGGTTTTATAACAGAGTTAATAGTTGTCACAGAAATGTATTTATTTTTTTATTGCTCAACTTACCCCATGCAATTGCTCAACTTACCCCGCTGGGGTAGGTTGAGCAGCCTAATTAACTTTGGACTATATTTTCTAAAACAAATCAAAAAAAGTTTTTTTGTCTCAAACATTTTTTAGCAGATCAAATTATCTTTCTAATAGTGAAAAAATTATGTTAATCCGATGTACCGTTCAAGAGATCTGTTAGATTTAGTAAAAATTGCCCAACTAGCCCCGCCCTACCCTACCAATAAGGATTATAATCGAGATACGAAGGATCAACTGTACTTTTCAGTATTATCTTCTTATAAAAACTCACTTTTCTACATTTCCACATGCTTCGATGTTTAGCTTTTATCGAGGAAATACAATTTTTTAATATCTGTGTATAAATTTTTTTTTTTATTTATATTATTTTGCTAAAAACATATGTTCTTTAGAATAATTTTTTATTTATTTTTTACTTTCTAATTTATCTAATTAAACACCTATAAGATTTAAATTATCTAATTAAACACATATAAGAGCGTCTCAGCTTGACAAATTGATGTGTTTTTTTTTTTATTTAGGTGCCCGAAGAAGACCTAACGGTCTTGTCACAGAGCACCGCGGAAGTGTATTTAACCAGGAAGCTGACACCTTCTTCCTTACCGTGACATGAAAATATGTTAAGAGCTCGTTTCGAATCTGGATCTCCTGCTTATAAAGCAAGTACTCTAACCATTGTGCCACGGCCGCACAATATCACGTTGTGACGGGCGTATTTTGATCTATATCTGTAAAAATATAAATGAAAATTCTGAACAGTTTATTTTTTATAATACAGTTACGCTTTCATATATTTCAATAGTGTAACTTAATTGAACCTCGCCCATATTCGCACTGAAATTGATGTTGACAGGCTATTATTAGACTTGCACAGCTGAACTATACATCATTAGATAGCTTATTTTTTCAGCTACAAAACTATGTAAAATTATTTAGATTTTATGAGAGTAGTTGGCAGTACCATTATAAATTGTACAGTGTCTCAAAAGCACTGATTTTCGCCCACTTGAACTCAATCTTGCCATGTTGATTTAAAGTCGTCCACTGTGTAAATTAAAAAAGAACTTATACTTGCGTAGGGCGACGTTATATCCAGGTGAGTGAGATTAAATCTCGTTAGTTAATTTCTATGCTCAATTGCACCATTTTAATTAGAAAAGTATAAAACCAAGAGTTTTTTTGTGAATGCGAACTTTCTCCCTAGATTCTGACTTGAATCTGGATTCTGAGATCAATCTCAATAGTAATTGTAAAATGTGTAAATAAAGTATACTTTCAACACAACAATGCTTACAAGCCGTAGTGATATGAAAAATATTGTCTTCTTTTTGCCCCAGTCATGAGTTTAGTTTTTATATTGAGCAGGCGTGGCGTAGTGATTAGAGCATGGTACTTATTGTATAAGTGTTGCGAGTTCGAATCCTGCTCGAAACGCTTATACGTTATCGGTAAAGCTCGAAATAGGAAACCAACTCATTAAATGGTTAAAGCCCTTGTGGCGTCATATGATCTCAAATAAGACCATTGGTCTTATCACAATAAGACCTTTAGAGTATTCTATATATCACAATATGGTCTCATCACAAATAAGACCGTCTAATGGTCTTATCACAAATAAGACCATTAGAGTATTCTTAAACAAAAAAAGTTTATATAGATAAGACGAAATTGTATGCATTTATAGTTATATAAAAAGATATTGTCAAATATTTAGTACATATTAATCAGTATTGTTCTCGGGATCAACCAATGGTTGCAATTCAGATGATAATAAAATGAACTTCTTTTTTGTTGTTGCTATAGACTTGTTGGCACGATTTTCTAATTTTTTCTCAAACCCAATACCTTTTTTTCTTCTTTTTCTTTGAGTCGCTTAGCAGCATTAACAAATTGCAGTTGTTTTCTTTCGCATTTTTCTTTTTCATGTTAGATTTTGTCTTGGTGATATTTCAGCTTTGCTGAGTATGCTTCTTGAGAAGTTAAAACGAAGTATTTAAGCTGACCTTTTCTGTTCGCTATCTTTTTCCGTGCGGTCGCCTTAGGATATGCCAAGACATCATCATCTCCATCACCTGCATTGATAAAACCATATATATTCAATAAAAGAACAAGAATTTAAATAATTTTAAAAAAATTGAATTACTTTAAAACTAAAAATTTATTAAAAGTTGCATTGTTGCTATGCAACTATTAATCACTTGATCAAATGAAATAAATAAAAAAACTGTAAAACGATTGACTTACGAGGTTAGGAAGAGTTTGCAAAAAAAACTGTAAAATGATTGACTTACGAGGTTAGGAAGAGTTTGCAAAAAAAACTGTAAAATGATTGACTAACGAGGTTAGGATGAGTTTGCAAAAAAATCTGTAAAATGATTGACTTACGAGGTTAGGAAGAGTAGGTACGACGAGGTTAGGATGAGGTTAGGAAGAGTTTGCAAACGGAAAACCTGAAACTGTAGTAGAATTAAAGTTTGATGGTTTGATTTCTTTTTTTTTTGCTCATATAAAATATAAAATATTTATTTCATTAATTGTTACAGTAAGATTGGTAAAACTATTCACAATACAGTCAACATTTTTTTCTTTAACTGGATTGACTAAATATGCAAGCTGATTATTACTAACAACAGTCTCTGCTTCCAAAATAGAAGTGTTGCTTTGTAACGAACTGTGAATTGTCTTTTTCAGTGCCATTTTGTAATTGTTCTATATAATTAGCAACTTTTCAATCTATAGAAGCATCAACGTCTGAAAAATTATTTCTTGAACAATTAAAGGTTGAAATACTTTTTTTTTTTTTTATGTAGCTAACTTATTTGGTTTTGATGAACATGAGCTTTTTATTCAATTTTTCAAACTCAACATCAGCTGGTTCGGCAAATTAAGTAGCAAAAAAATTACAGAAAACCAATAAATTTTCTTCAAGAGATACTTTTTTATTTGCGATTCGTTTGAGGTCAAAGTTATTTTGATGTTGATAAGGCTGGTTTGCTGCTCTAAAAAAACGTCTTTTTGATGGTGCAGCGTGTGAGTTAACTGACATATAAGCTATTAAAGATGGTGGGCAAGATTGAGTGATGGGCGAATTTATGTAAAGTTACCCTATTATAATAAACTTTTATTTTATTTTTAAAATGTAAATAAACTGTTTTCTCGATTAAAAACGTATTAACGCATTATTAATCATGGAATTGCTGTTTTTGAAACAGTGTTTTAGCGGGTCGTTGGTATAAAAAACCTAACGTTATTCCGTCGTTGGTATAATAAACTAATTACGTAACTCGACGGCGATTTAAAAAAAAATAAAAATAATAAAATATTAAATTATATTGTAATAATAAAATAATAATAATAATAATAAACAAAATAACAAAAATAAGAAAGTAGATTAAAAAAATTTAATTTATATTTCCTATTCTAACTAAAATTTTGAATTTGTCGTCCAGCGCAAAACGAGCTTCGTCAAAATGAGTAACTAGTTATGAATTCTTTAAAATTGGCCATAGTAGTATATCGATATTTGACATAAATTCTAATTATAGGAAAAAAAAAGGTTTTAAGAACAAACTTTAGATACCTTGGTATCATATTTATCAAATATATTTTATAAAATATAAATATTTAAGAGCCACTTTTTAAACAAGAATCAGAAAGTACGATATGTATTATATAAGGTACTTTCTGATTTTTATTTAAAATGCGAAATACCTTTATAAAATTTAAAATACATTTTTTACTTATAATTTAGAAATAGTTATGCAATAGTATTTAAAAAAGTGTTTATATTATTTATATTAAATATATTATATTATTATATAAAAAGTGATTTAAAAAAAAGTGATTTTAAAAATCTAAAGTTAGTTTTTAACTTAGTTAAATACTTAAACTGCATTGTTATAAAGTCTTTATAACTGGTTTATGTTATAAAGAATTTAAAGATATATCTTTAGAGTAGCATATTTCAGCGCAATTCTTAAAACCAGTTAAGCTTTTAATATACTTAAATTGATGTTTCAACGTAAACATGTTAAAAGTAAATTTACACTTTCAACCTCAATAAATTGTATATGTAAATAACAAGAAAATCTTGTGGTTTCAAGACTTTAAGATTAAGGATGTAATGTGAAGTTATCAAAATATATCAGCAAGCTTAAGATGTTTAATTTTGTTTAAAATCAGCTTTGCATTAAAGTTCACCAAAAATCATAAAAAATTATTAAAAGCAACACAAGTTAAAAGTTGCACACTAATCTATAAAAATGATTAAAAAAACATGTTCATATTTGGTTTTTTTTAAATGAGTTTTGAATTAAAATAAACACAACTAAACCATTTACCAGCAATATCTTGATTATGCTTATATTTTATATTAACAAGTTTCTTTGATAATGATCATGATCATGATAATAATTATAAACACAATGAACAATCTAAAACAAGTTGTTTTTATTTTTTTTTAATTTATTTTAAGTGCATAAAATGGGTCAAAATGTTTCCTCCGAAGATGGTGTTCGATTTAAAAATGCTATTAACAAACTCACTAAAATGGAGCTTTTAGATATTGAGGCTGCTTTTGAGTAAGTATGAATTTAATTATGTTTATGTTAAACAGTACTTTCTTGTATTTTTTAGTACATTCTTTGGTACTTTTTACAGTTTAGTATTTTTATTGTATAATTTATGCAACTACTTTGTACCTTATATACATCTTGAACATGTTTATAAATCCTTAAACCTCAAGATGAAAGTTGTTGTTTTTTTTTTTGTTTTTTTTGCCAGTAAAAAAAGATTTTTTTTTTATAAATATTAAATACTACATCTAATACCTGGTTTGTTATAGCAATCTTTGTGTTTAGCATGTAGTTTGTTCATCATCAATATATGCAACAATCTTTTTTCAAAATTTGTTGCAATCTGCTGCAGAGCTAGCTTTGTAATGGTCAAGCATAAGGTGTCTGCATAGTCACAACCTAATGATTGCTTTATGCCTGTTTGACAATTTAAAAAATTTAATGCTAGCCTTGCTTGGAATAAAATGTTATAAAAAGTAAAAAAAAAGTTATAGTGAACACATACCATGGTCCAACCCACCCAAGCAGAAAAGTTGTTTTGAGTATATAACTCTCAAATTTTTGAGTTTAACACTCTCAAATTAGATCAAGAAAAAACTGAGCATAAGCTTTTGTGGTACTCCAGAAGTTTCTGGAAATGAAAAAGAGTTTTTGCTTTCAAGAATGATTTCAATACTGTGATTAGAAAAAAATGGTTCAATAATTTTAATTATTTTTTCAGATACTTCATTTGGACCATTCAAATACTTCTTCATAAGCTCGCTTATAGAAGTATTTGAATGTTCAAATACTTCTATAAGCAGTTAAGCATGCCATACAAATAACTTTAGCTAATGAAGTGATTTAGATGTCTAACAATTGACTACCTTGTTTTTCTGGGCTAACAATTCAAAAGATGAATTGAAGGAAAATTTTTGCAAACAGTTCACACCATTGGTAAGGAAGGAGGCGTGAACCTCCTGTTTAAATACTCTTCCGTGGTGCTCTGTGACAAGACCGTTAGGTCTTCTCGGAACACAAAACAAAAAAATTTAAAAATTCTTTTGCCTTATTCTTGGGAGAGGTAATTAGATCCGATCCATATATTAATGATGGAATATTAAATTTGTCTTTGTTAATGATTTGTTGAAGATTTTCCTAAAGTCTCTAGAGCCTAACTTTTGAGATAAAATACAAAAACTGAGAATAATGAAGTTTAACATTAGATAGCACCTATATATATTGATATTTTGCAATAATAAAATGGTGTTTTTCTCAATTTGTTTTTGTGAAAAAGATCAAGGAAATGATTTTGATTGGAAATAGCAGCTTTTAACAAAGGTAAAAAGTTGGGGTAAAGACTTGACTTGAAACCAGCATAAAGGAATAAAAACTTCCATGCCTGGCTGATTCTGGGAGATTATTTAGGAGACATGCTTATTAGTGGAGAGACAAGTTATGCAGTCTTGAGAAGTAGAAAAATAATAAAGATCAAAGAGAAATTATTTAATGAATAATTAAATGAAGAAGTGCTGAATAAAATCACATAAAAAAAAATAATCGCATTAAAAGCATTGATAGTAACACCATCTATGTCTTACATGGTAATGTTAATACTCTGATATTTTAAGGCTGTTGATGGAACCAGTTTCTCTGAAACCTAGGACATAGTTTAAGAAACTTTACTTATGGCTGGCCTTAGAACCATTAAACTGAGTTTCAGAGCTGTACCCTCATTAGGATATAGAGGCATAAGCAAAAAGCTATTAGCATATAGAGGCATAAGCAAAAAGCTATTAGAGTTAAAAAGATTCAGCATTCAACATTCTAGGCAGGAAATAATGTAACATAGGTTTATATCTATGCCAGTCTAATAGATAAAAAAAAGAGTGTAAAGCTGGTCAACAGAACTTTTTTTTTTACTCCTTTTACAAGGGAGTAGCTAGATCAGGCTTGGTCATGAAGCGGGTACAATCGCACATGATAACTGACCACGAAAATAATATTTAGCTGCAAAAAACCGGCCAGATTTTTAAGTCGTTTTGAGAACATTTAAGTTTATGTATGTTTCCTTGTTTTTCCGCAAAATAATAAGTTTTTCCGCAAAATAATAAGTTCATTTTCAAAATATTTTGTTATACGGACTTATATAGAAACATGCATAAACTTGAATGTTCTCAAACATCTTAGTGCGGAAAAATAAAAAAAAAATATTCGCAAACACAAAAATCCTGCCAAATCTATGAAAAACTAATTCTATTGGTTCAAAAAATACTAACTGAAATTTCTAGAGTATTCAAAAAATACTAACCGAATGTCCTGAGTATTCTGTTAAAATATTTTTTTAAATATTATTTTTTGAATTTTGTTGCGTTTTTGTTGAGATTTCTAGCATAATTTATTTTAAGAATATACTATCAAATGAACTATTATTTTAATTCTTGGAGTCACATCTACAAAGCTATAAATGTTTTAAACTAACATTATTTGGTTACAATAATAAATGTTTGAAATTTATATTTTTTAACTTGTCAACGTTTTGTAAATATATTATAGATTTTATTAGTATATTCTTATTTTTTATATATAAGGGATGTATTTTTTATGTATGTAATGTATTTTTATGTATGTAATGTATTTTTATTTATGTAATTTTATGTATGTGTACAAGGCCAGCGCGATGAGTTGGTGGGGTGGGTGTGACACCCCCACCCCACCCCCCATCAATGATTTTTAGTCGGCAAATTGGACCCTAAGTCGGCAAATAGGACACTTAGTCGGCAAATTGGACCCTTTTAGACTAGTTAGTCGGCAAATGTCGATCCTTTTGATATAGGTTAGTCGGTAATCTAGACAGTCGGCAAATGTCATCATGGCAGTCAGCAAATTTTGGAAAACGAGGACCTTTTTTTTTTTCTTTTCTTTTTTTTTTTTTTTTGTTGGCAAAAGTTGTAATGGCACCCCCCCCCCCTTTACGTGACACCTACTCGCGCCGGCCCTGTATGTGTATTTTATTCAAATGTAATCATTTAATGCAATTTTTGCTATTGATTTTGTAAACAAAAATACTTTCAATAATAACTGTGTTTTCAATGAAATTATTAATAATCGTCAAAATTAATACAGAAAATTTTAACCACTAATCCATTTTCCTCAGTGTACCCGATAACTGATTCTTTCTCCCAAGAAAGAAAAGTTTTTAAGTTCTTAGAAATTGGTTTACTAACTTCAATTATTTTTGCTTCAGCCATTCTTACTAACTCGTTATACTTAAAGTTACTTTTTTTGTTTTAAATACTAATTAAAATTATAAAGCCCACTCACTAAACATCACCAGCGGTATTTGAAGCAGTTCCGCTTCCTCCTCACAAAGTAATTTAATGTTTTTTGTTAATTTCTACTTAGCTAATTGAATTTATACAGTAACTCAATGATATTGTTATTTTATTTGTTTATCTTACTAAGAAGAATTGTTTCAAATGTGTTGAACTTTTTAAGCTACGCGAAGCATAAAACAGCTATTGAAAAAACGTTTTTATTTATAAATAAATTATCTGGTTGAATCTTGTTGGACTTTTCAGGGTCGGGGGCTGCATTATTTTGGCGGCCGTTTTATGTGCCACAGCATAAAAATGACTAAAAAAAATTCTGAATGATCCTCTTGACTATTTCTCCTAACACTGTGAGTGTTAGGAAAAATATATATAGAAATATATATACTATAGCCCTACTACCCCCACCTCACCTCCTCAATCCAGCACTGGAAATAAGACATAAGTATATAAATAAAAATTATATATACTCTTTGATAAATCGAAGAACATTTGTTTTTTTATAGTTGTTACTTTATATAAAAAATGTCGCTTAATTTTATAAAAAAAGTTATAAAAGAGCGGCGTTTCAAAAATAAATTTATTTTGCTCTAATAAATTTATTTTGCTTAAAGTTTTTTCGCGTTAATAGCTATTTTTCTTTTTTTAACTGTCTCTCATCGGTCCAGTTAATTTTAATGCGCTTTTTTGTTTGTTTTTGAAATGTTCTCAAAACGACTAAAAAATCTGGTCGGTTTTTCGCAACTAAATAGTATTTCTGTGGTCGTTTATCAAGTGCGATCGCACCCGCTTTCCAACCAAGCCTGAGCTAGATGTAGTTAATATCTGTCCAAAATTAGTATTTTTATAGACGCCATCTCTTTATTTTACTCACCCATAGTATTTTAAGTCAGAGTTATTTTAAGTCAGACTACCCAGGAGATTCATTGTTACCCAGAAGAGGATACCACCTCTGCTATTACTCATATGCTTGACCAGTGCTACAATGGTAGACTTCTCAATTCTCACAAGATTTGCTCTCAAGGCTACATCAAATGTGTTGATAAAATAGACAACCAAGTAGAGAAAGTTTGTTCAATTTCTGATCTTGACTTGTCATTAAGTCAAGATTCTGATGATCTTGATCTCTGTGCAAGCTTTGGAAACTGTGATTCAGTCAGATACTGGTGCAAGATCTATGACCAAAATGACATCTGACATTGATGTTAAACTTGAAAATTTTCTGGCAGCTTCTATAGCCATTTTAGTCACTGATCTTTAATTATGGTAGAGCATGGCAAGTGACTATCCAAAGCTGGCTTCTATTGTCATAAGAAGGTGTTTTCCCGGACCATCATTAACATCTAAGAAATTTTTTTCTGGAACTGGCCAAGTTGTCACTTGACAAGGTCTTACCACTACAAATGTTAAGCTGATCTACATAGCTTAAAACTATCCACGAGGAACATAAATTGAGAATACAATAGATTGTAATAAGTATATGTTGTTAAAAAGTTGTTATTTTTATTTACTTTCTTTTTTATCTTTCATAAAAATATTTAAGCAATATTAAGTTTCTGAAACATTAGCACAAAAAGTGTTATATTTTTGTTATGAGTAATGGTCAAAAATTGCATTCATCTTCATTCATCGAATTTAAAGAATAGTAATATTCAGTTGAATACAATTTTAGGCCAAAGACAAATATTTTTTAAACTTTGTTCACAAAGATAAAAAAAAGTTACTGTTTGCTATTTGGTTTTTAAAAACATTTGTTGGTGTTTACAGTGGAGTAATTTAAGTCAGAGTTAACTTCTACTTGGCTTTGCAAAAAGATATGAACAGACATGATACTTATTTTTGCTAAATTAATAATGGGTGATTCCATGTGAAAACATCCAAGTCATGCAGCCCTAAGTCACAGATTTTGCTTATTTTTGAAAGCACTTAAAGATTTTAGTAAATTGTGAACATCCTGGAAATTTTATTGTCTAATTTCAATCGGTTCCTAAGATATAGCTGTTTTAAGTTTGCCTCCAACCAACAAAAATCCACCATTTTTAAAAATGGTTTTGGTCCTAGTTTCTTTTATATGTGTATTGGAAAGCTGAAAATTTGTACCTTTACATATTTTCGGCCAATAAATTCAATGAAACAACATAAAATATTTAAAAACGAACATAGCACCTAAAATTTAAACGTTTACCACAATTTTACTAGGGCAAGTCCAATCACAAAAATGCCGATGTAGCTTAAAGTCATAGATATTACAAATTGGAGAGTGGTCTTTATTAAAACAGAAATAAAAACATGGTCAAATCTACTTAAATTTGTTGCTTAAAAAACAGGTATTTTGATAAATTAAACAAAACTGTTGACTAGCTGTTTGCTAACAGCTAGTCAACAACAACTAAAAGAACAGTTTGATGTAGCCAAAACTGTTTCAGTTACAAAACTGTCAAATTACCACTTTTTTTGTTTTGTTTAATTTATCAAAATACCTGTTTTATATATATATATATATATATATATATATATATATATATATATATATATATATATATATATATATATATATATATATATATATATATATATATATATATATATAAATTTAGAAGCAGAGTATAATGTTTATTAAAAATTAATTATTTTATTTTGGTCAAACAACTATATCTCTTGAAATGGCTCGTAATCTTAAATCCAAAAATCTAGATGGAAATTTTGTCGCTCATGTATTCCGTTTTTGTCAAATTTTGATGAAGTTTCTGATAATGAAATGGAGTGTGAAATTGATGGTGATGTATTATTTGTTAAAGGTAAATCTTGCAATAAACAACAGTTAGACAACTCTTTAATATTAATTGGTGTCTTGCCAGTTAAAGTTCATGGAGTCACAAAGCATCAACGAGTTGTAACAGCAAAAAGAAAATTAGTCAAAGCCTACACAAAAATGAAAGAAGGAGTAGTAAGTGCTTATGGAGTAAATATAGATAACTTAAGTGTAGCCTCAACTTTTTCCAGTCATCCTACAGATAAAAAAAAAGCAAATGATCTTGATCATTTGACAGCTTTAATGAAAGAAAAACTTAAAGTTGAACCATTTTTTAAAAAATTTCAAATATTAACACTTACACCTGAATCTTGGTCTAGAAAATACGCTTAAGAATATTTTGAAGTTTTTAAACATCTTATACGACGTGCTAGGAAACTTAAAATTAAAAATGGAATTCTTGCTATACCTGATAAGAGAATAGGCCAAAAACTACCTGACTTTCTTACAGCTTTGGTTCAAGATTTTTTTCAACAAGATGAACATTCTAGAATAACACCTGGTAAAAGAGATTGTGTTAAGGTTAAAAATGCTCCTCCACAGTAAAAAAGATTATTGTTGTGCAACCTTCATGAGCTTTATATTGATTTTAAAAGTAAATACCCTAATTTTAAAATAGGATTTTCAAAGTTTTGTAGTTTGCATCCAAAATGGTATATTAGTGTGGGACCAAATGGTACACACTCTGTATGTGTTTGTATTCACCATCAAAACCTAATATTGCTTGTAAATGCTGTCCAATGGAATGTTACATACAAAGATTTAATGTCAAAATTAGTATGTGATACAAACAATAATGAATGCATGGTTTATAGGTGTGCTAAATGTCCAGGTTATGATAACCTAAAGACATTTTTTAGATGAGGAATTAATTGAGATTGATGAAAAAGAAATTCAATTTAATCAATGGCAAAGTACTGATTGATCACAATTAATTACTCAGACAGTTAACTTATTTAAATATGAAGAACTAGTTGTTTCTCACATTAATTATCTAACTTCACATTCATATAATGCTAAAAGCCAAACTCACTATTTGAAAGAGCTAAAAAATAATTTAAGTTACAATGAATGTATTATAGAGGCAGATTTTGCAGAGAACTATCAATTTGTTATACTGGGTGAAATTATTGAAATAAACAACAATGTACACTTCATCCTGCTGTTATATGTTTTAAGGAATTTTCTAAAACAAATATTCAGCATAAGTCATTCTGTTTTTTAAGTGATGATAATGATCATGATACATGCTTTGTGTATGAATTTCAAAAGAAAACTGTAGAGTACATTAAAGAATATTTAGTTGGTATCAATAAAATTTATTTTTTTTCTGATGGATGTTCTGCTCATTATAAAAACTATAAAAACTTTATAAATCTATGCCACCATAAGGAATATTTCGAGATTACAGCTGAAAAACCAGCCAACCATGGAAAATCCACTTGCGATAGCATAGGCGATACAGTTAAGAGAATAACAGCAAGAGCAAGTTTGCAAAGGCCATTGGAAATCAAATATTGATAGTTGATGATATGCTTGAGGTATCATCAATCAAATCAAGCTACATTGACATTTTTGTGATTGGACTCACCCCAGTAAAATTGTGGTAAACGTTTAAATTTTAGATGTTATGTTTGTTTTTAAATATTTTAAGTTGTTTCATTGGATTTTTTGGCCCAAAATATGTAAAGGTAAAAATTTTCAGCTTTCTAACACACATATAAAAGAAACTAGGACCAAAACCATTTTTAAAAATGGTGGATTTTTGTTTGTTGGAGGCAAACTTAAAACAGCTATATCTTAGGAACCGATTGAAATTAGACAATAAAATTTTCAGGATGTTCATAATTTACTAAAATTTTTAAGTGCTTTAAAAATCAGCAAAATCTGAGACTTACGGTTGCATTTTCAAAAAAAATACTATTAGTGAATGTAGCAGCAACTCCCTTACATCTTCTCTCTAAATCAGCCAAAGTATGTCCTGAAACCCTCATTCTCCTTAACGCCCTAAAGACTCCTCAAATCTGAATGACTAATGTGCTTTTATTTTATAAATATAAATTTTGATATTTTCTACTAAATCGTTTTTACATTTAAAAAAGTATTTTAAAATTAAATTTTATCTATATGAAACTCATTTAATAAGTATTATATAGATTTATTTATTTAGAGAATTATCATCAAAATCAGGAGATGAACAAGTTGCCATTCAAAAACCAACCTGGTTAAACCGTGATAAGTTTGCAAAAATGTTTGGTATAAATGATTTAATTGCTGAGCAGTTGTTTGAAACTTTTGATCAGGATAAGGTAAACTTTTGTGTCTTTTTTTTTTTAGTTTTATTTCTAATTCTTTTTATTAACCATTTGATCTTTTGAATAGAATGGTTTAATTGATCTTAAAGAGTTTGTAACAGGGGCAGCTTTATGTTTGCATGGAAGTTTAAAAGACAAATGTAGACTCCTGTTTAAAATCTTTAATCTGGTAATGTTTGTATTATTATTACATTTTAATAAATATAAAAATATTTATTACAGTTTAATATGTTTAAAGTTTTTATTTATTTTAATTGGTTGTTTAAGAAAATTATTTTCATTTTAAATTATTTTTCATTTTCAAATTATTTTAACTTATTACTAATTTATTGATATTCTAAATACAGCATATGATTTATGCAAATTATTTCATTTAATAACTTGTCTGTTTGTGCAGCAGCCTTGCTTGTCAATTATTATGCTTTAGAAGTGAAGAGAATGGACTGCGGAAGGGTATAACAACAATTAAAAAAAAAAATTAAAAGTTCAAAGAATAATTTTCAGTACTGTGTATTAAAAGAAGAGTATGCACCTGTACTGTGTGCATCCTTTTTAAAGTAAAGAAGGTTATTCTTGTTAAATTATTCCCGTATTATCATTCAATCATTCAACCAGGGGTAGGACATTTAATCATTCAACCAGAGGTGGGACATTCAATCATTCAACCAGGGGTAGGACATTCAATCATTCAACCAGCGGTGGGACATTTAATCATTCAACCAGGGGTGGGACATTCAATCATTCAACCAGGAGTAGGACATTCAATCATTCAACCAAGGGAGACATTCAATCATTCAACCAGGGGTGGGACACTCAATCATTCAACCAGGGGTGGGACATTCAATCACTTAACCAGGGGTGGGACATTCAATCATTCAACCAGAGGTGGGACATTCAATTGTTCAACCAGGGGAGACATTCAATCTTAGGCATTAGAAGCCATTTTGAAAACAGTCAGATAATAGATTCATCAATTTATAGACTTACATAAACATTACAATTATAAATATAACAGACATAAGACTTAATATACAATAATAGAGTATTTAATATAGGAAATCTGCCAGATCAGGAAAAATAGGGAAAAGTTAGAGAATCCCGATATTTTCAAATAAATCAGGGAATAATCAGGGAAATTGGGTTAAATTTTGGACAAATCAGGGAAAGTGGCTCTTCATCAAATTTAGGTAACCTAAGTAAATTGTATATCATATACCTAATATAAAGTTTTATTTGGCAGATTAAATGTGGGTTGTGTTACTTGTGGGTTGTGTTTATAGTTTTGCAATTATAGAGGACTTTTCCAAATGAATCGAAAAATCTAATTTTCTTGAAGCTGAGTTTGAGTAACTTTAAATTAAATCATAGAAAACAGGTAGTGGATCAGGAAAATATCATGGAATTCCACTTTAAAATATTGGCAGACACCATGTAATATAGCTATATAATACAGACCTTGTTTTAAATTTTAAAATGTTTAACGCAATAGTCTAATGTGAATTTGACGTCATAAAATTCTCTTTATTTTTTTATTTTTTAAAGACATTAACTTTTTAAAATACTGCAATAATATTAATTAATGCAAAAAGAGTATATTATTTAAATTCTTTTTTAATATTACTAAATAAATGAAGTAAAATATGTTAACAAATTTAAATGTTAAAAGAATTTTTAAATGATTATATCTGTATATATTATATCTGTATATATCTTTTATTAAAAATGCTGTGATTTAACTTGCGTTTTAAAAAAATGTTCAATTTACATTTTGTGCAAATTTTTGATGCAGTCATTTATTTAAAATTTAATTTTGAGTAAAGAAAAAAAGTTTAGAAAGGAAAATAAGAAAAAACTATTGCGATAAAAATGAGCTAATTTTTTTTTTTAAGAATAAATTAAATTTTAATATTGAGCAATATTTAGTAATATTTTTAAATAAATTTGACAGTTAAGTTAAACCCAAGCATTAACTTTAATTTTAGATATGTTTTTTTTTTAGATCAAAATTAAATTATATATTTTTTAAATCTAAATTAAATAATTTTTTTTATCAGACTAAAATTATATATTTTTATTAAATTAAATCATATATTTTTTATCAGAATAAAATTATATTATTATGATCTTTGCTTTAGGCTTTAAGTTTTAGCATTTTTCAAGCAAAACAATCAATTATTATAATAAAATAAAAACAAAATAAAAATAAATTTTTAATTTTATTTGATTTTTTTTCATTAGTAAATAGCGTTTATATCTAACATAATTGTCATTTGAACTTTTGCAACAAATATTTTTTCTTCATTGTCTTTCAAAAGTTATGTGGTTTTTTACTTCTTTTATCTTAATTATAGAATAGTTTAAAAGGTAAAAAATGATAAAAAGTCATTTAAGCAAAATGGTTTACTGTTATGTAAAATCGCTCTGTGCATAACACTTTAAAACAAGGCCTGTAATATAATTAAATATTTTTTTAAAAAAAGTTATGAAACTACAAGTTTTTCTGGTTAACATTTTTTGCAAATCTTTTTGCAAGTTGAGATATGGACTTTCACCTTTATTGAACATTACTAGGAGTAAAGTCACCTTTATTGAACATTACCAGGAGTAATAAAGTTGCAAATTAACTTAATAAAAACAACATTGCCACATGCAGATTTTGCCTAAAAAGTTTTAAAGTGTTTTCTGTTTTGCTTATAAAAATTGTTTTCTTTAATTTTATTTTCCATTTAGTTTTGAACAATGCCAGAGATCTGATAAAACTTAGTATAAACTTTTTAAATAAAAAGAATCCAAAAATCTAAAAAGAATTCCATAGAGTTAAATGTAATAAAACTCTAATTATGTACAATTTGCTGTACTGTTATTAATTATAATAATGCTGTATAAACTGTAATTAATTGTACAATAAACTGTAGTCAGTAAATATGGTCAAATACGAAAACAATAGCAAACTTTGCTCAAGTCAGTTAGTGTAAAAAATCCTATAAAGGGAGGATCACTGTAGTGGTTATGTTTTTTTTTTTAGTTTTTCTGAACTTATGACAATGTTGTTGTTGTTTTTTTACAATTTTTCTGTTATCAATTGTAATTATCACTATATTTTATTTACAATTTTAGAATGGTGATGATGGTGTCAGCCCTGAAGAATTTTCCATGGTTTTAACAAGCTGCTTGCAATCAGCTCATACTATGCTTTTGGCTACTCTTAAACATGAAGGTATATTAGAATTTGAAGAACAATTAGCTAATCAAGACGGAGAAGCATTTGTTGTATCAGCGGTTGTTGAAAAGTTAGTTTAAATATTTTTTTGTGTTAGTTAAATAGTAATGTTGTGTTGTTGTGTGTAAAATATTTAAATATTTATATATGTATTATATAAATTTATATAAATTTTGTGTGATAATAATTTAGAATAGTCAAGGAAGCATTTGATAAATGTGATACATCAAGAAATGGAAAGTTAGAAATTGACGTATGCTTTTAGTTGAATATCTATAAAACTATATAAATAAATATAGTTATGATATAAGAAAATAAATATAGTTATAATATAAGAAATGTTATGTTGAGTGTTTGATGTTGTAGGAATTCATACAATGGGTTTACAAGAATCCAAGTTTAGTGGATAACATATTTATGATGCAGTGTCCTAAACCAAGTCGTAAGTTTTTTATATTTATTTTCAAGTTACACAAAGCTGCAGTCTTGTTAAGCTCAACTTCAGCTGAGTTTATGTATGTAAGTTGTCTTTGTGTAATTAACACACATATTTTTTTACAACTTTATAAAATTTTTAAAAACCAACTTTTTGAAGTCATGTTTGTGTGGTATTTAAAATAAATGATAAGGTGTAGTAACAATGTCGATTGGTGATTATTCAGTAGTTGAATAAATTTACCCACTGATGTTGCTTTATAGACTTTATGTTGCCAATTTCAATATGTTGACACTCTTACACTGTTGTATAAGAATCCTCCTTTATGTCTTCAAGAATTAGTTTTATTATTTTGTATTGAGTCTCATAGACTTGATTTTAGTATAAAAAATATTTTGTAATATTTAATACATACACATACAATTACTACATACATTTTATATAATTACTACATACATATTGTATTTTTATATATATTTTTTTATTTTAAGGCAGCGCTAAAGTAGACCTTCCTAAACTTAAACTTACTGAAAAAAAGAGCTTAGATAACAGTAAGTTTAAATTATATTAGGTTTTGTTAATTTCTTTTCTGGAAATATTTTTTTTTCTAGCAACTCATTGTTCTTATTTATATTATTTAATAAAGCTCTACAGCATGTCCTGACATGTCCATGACAGATTATTTAATAAAGCTCTACAGCGTGTCCTGACATGTCCATGACATATTATTTAATAAAGCTCTACAGCATGTCTAACTACAGATATCAACAGGTCCAACTACATTTACAATATATTTTTGGACCTTGCTAAGAAAAGAAAGAACATTATTAGAAGAACCAGCCCAAATATGGCAATAATATTCCATACAGGGACAAAGAAGAGATTTGTAGAGGTAAAAATAATGAAGGGTAATAATAAGAATAATAATAAGAATGTAATAAGGATTTAATCAAAATAAATCAGGGGGTAAGATAATGATGATTACAATAAAGAGAAGTAACATTAGCAGGTGTTAACTTTGAAGTGGATTGTGGTTTCCATGAGTAGTGAATTATAATTAAAAAATGCTTTACCATTTATAACTCTAGTGAACTTTTTTAAAAAAGTAATTTAAGAATTTTTAAAAAGGAAATAGGAAAAAATCCAGTCATTGCACCAATTAAAAATAAAATTTACGTCATCTTGTAGATCATTACAACTGTTTTCATGAATTATCTGGAAAACTTTGCAATCATCAGCATAAAGCTGTCATTTATTTTTTATTTTATTTGGAAGGCCACTGATATAAATTAAAAACAAAATTAGTCTTAAAGCAGAGCTTTGTGGTACAATACTTGAAACACTAAGCCACAAAGAAGCAAAGTCTTCAAGAACACTCTTTACCTTCTATTTGATAAAAATGGACTCGATTCAAATGCTTTAAAAGTCAGTAAAGAAGATGTTGATAAAGTAATCTTGATCTATTATCAGAGTTAAAATATCTTAACTTTCAAATAAATTTGTAATGCAAGATTTGCTTGGTAAAAAACCATGCTGATTCTTACTTATTAAATTATTGTCTAAAAGATGCAGAATAATGCTAAAATTTTACATATAATGGACGAAAGAGAAACAAGTCTATTGTTTGAAGGATCGAGCTTATTGCAGTTTTTTTAAAATTAGAGCTATATTTGAATCTTTCCATGCTTTTGGTAACTCTCCTGAAACAAAGGATAGCTTTAAAATATGCTCAATAGGAATACTCAAACTTTCATAGCAGGTATTCAATACATACAGATGAATTCTATCGTTTCCACAGGCTTTGTGTATATTCAATGATTTAATTGAAAATAATTTCTTTTAAACTGATTATTTTATTTGTATCATTTTTACAGTAAACTTGAATAATTGGATCAAATATGAGTAAGGCTTTATTATCGTTATGAGTAAATACTAATTGAAACGAGGTGTTCTACAAGTTAGAAATATCTAAAAGTTTGTCACTTATCGTACCATTTTGAAACCTTAAAGTTCGAGTTCCTTTCTTATCATTTTATTTTCTGTTCATGTATGCATTAAATTTTTTAGGATCAGATTTAGAACTTTTAGCTAAGTCATATTCAAATTGTTATAAGACCATATCAATAGAATTAAGAGTCTTAGTTTTAATAAAGTTGTATTTTGTTAACAATTCATGATTATTTCTATCTAATGCAATAAACTTTGAATATAGTTGTTTGTATTTTTTTGATTGTGGGATTAACAGGCCACCATATTATACCAAAAATTTATAACACTCATTGATGTTTTCATCCCCAAATAATTGGTATTTCTATTCCCCAAATAATGTTTTCCAATTGAGTTAAAATATTGTATCATTTAGACAGTTGTATTTTTTTATATATAAAACTTAAAATAAAGTTTCAAGTGATTTTATTAGTATTTACTTAATAGTTTTATGTCAAAATCATGTGTGCATGAGCGAACTTACTTAAAGGAGGGTTTGATGCAAATTCAGAAACACAATTTGAGTTTTCTTTAAGTATTAAATCAAGTATGTTCATATATTCCTTATTAGACTTTTGAAATGTTGGAAAGAATACATTTTGTGACAAAACCCAGTCATTCATAGTTACTTTGAAATTAAGTTCAGAACTATTTTGATCATGAAACAGGGTGTCTGCCAGATCAGGGAAAAAAGAGAAAGTCAGGGAATTCCGGTATCTGCAAAAACTTTAGAGAAGTCAGAGAAAAGCCTCTTTATCAAACTTACATAACTTAAGTAAGTTTTTCTAAAAGAATTTAAGTTTAATTTTTCTGAAGTTGAGTTTTGGTAACTTTAAATTAAATCAGGGATAATTGGTGAAATAATGAAGCTATTATCAATCCATTTTATATTTGGAATATTAAAATCCCGGACCAATAAAAAACCTGCAAAAGCATTATTATCATAAATGCATTTTGCACCCAGAATTGATTTACTAAGATTTGAATCATTTGCAGAGTTTGGAGGTCTGTAGACACACCCAACGAATATTTGTTCAAACTCATATTTGAGTCCACACCATATTTTTTCAATATCTGGATAACAGAGTTAACTTCAAAAGTTATAAAATCTTTTTATGTGTAGACTCCACCATCTCGCTCATTAATTCTAAACCACAACATCTGCCCATGAAAGGGTGGTTATTGTTTTTGCCTCCAATGCCTAAATTATTTTTTTATAATTTTTTGATTATGTCTTGTTGTGCATGCACCATTATGGTTAGATCAATAGTTTTTAAAGTTTCATTTCTTTTTAATTTTTCCATTGTTATCAAAAATTCTTGATAATGTTAACGATCCAAATCATTTTAACGATGTTAACTCTTTTGTTAACTTATTTTTAAGTTTCCACTTAAATATAAGATTTTTTTTCTTACCACCAAATAGGCAAAACAATGTAATTTTATATAAATCTATATTATCATCGAAACAACACCGAAATGATAAAACTAAATATTAACCACTTCTAACGTTTCTTAATAGATGAATGAAATCAAGTCTTCTTACAAAAATCCCTTAAAATCAAATTTTTAATTTATTTTAATTTTAGCTTTTTCCAAAAAAAAACACTGGTTAACCTAGTTTATGGAATTGTAAAAAAATTTCAATCAAATACAAATACAAATATGAATATTTAAGAAATGCTGTTCAAATAAGCTTGCTTATCTTCCATGCACTCAGATTTTATAAATTCATTTGCAATTGATATCATTAAAATATTGAATCCAGAGTTTAGCTGTAGGCTCTTGTTTTTTATATTTATTTGGTTTTTCATTTAACTAATAAAGTAATGCTTGCATATTTCATTATTTTCACTACTTTTAATATCATTATTAAAAGTTATTGTTTAATTAAACTTTTTGGAGTAACAATTTGAACAATACCCATTATGTGAAGTGTGTTACTACCATCTAAAACCTTTAAATTGATACCAGCATTGTCTTCAATATATTGAATAAATAAAAAAACAGTTTGTAGTGGTAAAATAAAAGGTGAATGGTGAAAAACTGCTGATGCCTCCTACATTACAGTATTATTGAAGAATGTGCATAAACCATAAACAAAACAATTTGAATAAAACATTTTAAACCAAACCGTCGATGGAGAAAAACTGATGGAGACCGAATTGTAATGATTTAAAAGATCTAGGCCTAACATCAGACATAATACTGTGGTTGATACTTGTCAACACTAATTTTAAATGTTCTAATTTAGATTGTTTATTTTAAAGAATTAATTGCTCCAAAAAAAAGTCAATGACTTTGGAATATTGTTGTTAATATCTTCAAACATTCAACTAGGCAAGGGATAATTGGTATTATCAAATACTAATGATTGGTTGTTTTCTCAAATAATTGCCGCCACAATTTTTTAGATTCAAAATTGTTCTTCCTCTTTATTTTGTTCTTCTCATAACAAGTTTGCTTATGAATATCGTAATGGTTGTCAAAATGCAGATCAAAATTAATCTGCCCAGTTTTAAAATATTTTTAAACTCTTCTAATAAAAATTGAAAATTTATTTTCAATGTATGAAAATATTTTTTCCATCGCATCATTTGTAGATTAATCCTGAGGATAATCATTTATAGATTAATCCTGAGGATAATCATTTGTAGATTAATCCTGAGGATAATCATTTGTAGATTAATCCTGAGGATAATCATTTGTAGATTAATCCTGAGGATAATTAATTGTCGATTAATCCTGAGAATAATCATTTGTCGATTAATCCTGAGGATAATCAATTTTACCTCCAGTGGTTGGTCTTAAAAAGGAATTAGAACAATTATTATGGTACCTAGTCTCAGCAGCAACTAAACCATTTTCATTCTCAATGCATGCAATAAAATTTTCTGCTGCGTCATCAGACTTACTCTGAGCAACCTTCAGAATTTCTTTGAATTTAAGAGTAGAAACTTTATAAAATTTACTTAAAAAACAAACTTTCTTTTTTCAAAGAAAAATCAATGCAAAATAAACAATTTTTTTCAAAAAAAAAATTGGATTCATATACGCTAGCTCTGGTTCAAGGTGGACTAATTTTGAATGTACTGGCTTGATCTATATGTTGCTGTCTTTTGAATGTACCAATAATACTAATTTGAGCAAAAATTTTATGGCACTTTTTATGAATTATCACAGACTTCTAGGTTCCTTTCAGTTCTATCAACATTAAAATCAATTAACGTCCTCATTCCACGATCAACAACAACTGTTTTATTTGCTGTTAAAAGTTTACTTAACTGGTGTAGCAGGTTTTGGGTCTATAATAACAAAACCCAGACTTGGTTTAAATTGGTCGGGTCTGGGTCTAAATCTTCCTATTACTAATAAGAAATATTGTTTAATAACCACATATTCACTGCAAAAGAATGTTTATAAAAAGTCAGACAAAATAGCATCTAAGACAAAATGCGTATTATTTAGTATATTGTGATGAAATACTTTTATTTTTATCAATGAGGCTCATAAAAATGTGCTTTAAAAAAATGTGCTTTAAAAAAAATTATACAAAAAAAATAAATAAAACTAAACTAAATTAATACTCATATGTTTATTTTTTTATTATATCACAATATAAAAACTTAATTTCAACTAAATAAAGTTTTTTATGAGAGTGGCTAAATAATAAGTAAAATCCCCTAAAACTTTGAAATATTTTATTGTTTTTATTCAAGATCAGAGAAAAACCGCAGCAATGTAATTTTTTTGGTAGATAATAAAATGCATTAGTGAAAAAACAGTTTTTAACCTTTTTTTTTTTTTTTTATTTTAATTCACCTCCTCAAGGCCGAGAAGGCCACTACAGACGAGGAGGCTACTTATTTGTGGTTATAACCCTCTCTCACTCTATAACTCCGAAACACGAACCTTAATGAACAAGGCCGCTGCGCAGAGAAACGAGTTGAGTGCGGTACTACCAGGGATGTGGTGGGGATCAAACTCGGAACCACTCGTTTATGAAGCGAGCGCTCTACCACTACACCACTACCGCATTTAACCACATATAACCTTTGCCATTAATTAAAATTTTTGGCAAATGTAGGATCAGTGGGGACTTTTAATATTTTATTTGTAGTAATGTCTCCAATGTACCAATTTTCACCCCTATGCAAATTATTGTAAACCCACTACTATTTTTTTTACTATTTTGACCAGATTAAGACACCTTTAACTATATAACAGACAAAAATAGCAACCACTATAGACATGACAAACTTTAGATAGTATTGATAACAGGAAGTACACTTCTTCTAACTTTTGCTTAGAAAGAGAATCCTACAAAGCAGCAAGACATAAAACAGGTTGCACTGGAGTACACACCCAGTAACATGGTGATCATAATGATTATACGCCTGACGTATTTGATTGATCATGGTCATAAAACTGATCTAAAGTTTCACTTTTCTTTATTTCTTTTAAGTTCCACCCTATCATGAATGGTTAAATCTCTTTTTATTAGATTTTTTTATCATTTTGTTCAAACTAATACATCTTTAACTGATACATTTTGTTCAATTGATACAAGTTTAAGAACATTTTTGTGTTCTGCTTTTTTAATTTTTCAAAAATACTTTTATATTATTTTAAGTTTTAAACCTAAAAGTAAGGTTAGTAAATTGATGAAAGAATGTTTTTGCTATGTAATAAGTTTGTTAAAACAGTCAAGCACAATCAGTATCAATTTGATGCTACAGATTTGCTGTTATTGATGCTACAGGTCTGCTGTTATTGATGCTACAGGTCTGCTGTTATTGATGCTAGAGGTTTGCTGTTATTGATGTGACAATTGCAATAACGTAGTTGTTGTAAATGTTTGTTTATAAATTGTTCTAGCTATAATAAACAAAAGCTAAGATAAACAAAGCTTATGAAAACACCAAGTTGTTAAAAATATCAAATTGATACAATATACCTTATATTCTTATATTGAAATATTTGCCACAGCACCTGACAGAAGATTTAACAGAAAAATAATGTAAAAGTATTGCATTGTAAAAAACATTGTATAGCAAAAATTGTTGTTATAAAAATATTGCACCTTAAAACATTTAATTGTAAAAGTATTAAATTGTAAAAAGATATATTATATTTATATATATTAAAATGTATATATAAAATATATTCTAAAAGTATATCTGATTTAATAATGTGCTAAATTACACATAATAAACTTATAACTAAAGTTGCTGAGCAAAGACTTGGATAAAAAAATGGAAAAACCAATAATTTAAATACGGGTTTGAGTATGATAAAGGTTTAGGAAGAAAATAGGTTTGATTTTAATAGAAGTTTGGTATAATATACTAGTCTTCCTGGGAAGTGTATGCTGTAGCACACCTTGTTTGTCCACGTTTAAATTAATTTTTTTGACAACTTGACCGTGTTTTTATATAGTAAGCGTTTTTAGAATTTAAAAGATTTAAGTTTTACTGTTTTTATCAATGCACAGGAATGCAAGAAAACTAATTGCTATTTATTTGTAAAATATGTATTTTTTATTTTTAAACAAGTTTTTCATGTAAAATAATAAAAAGTCATTAATACTAATGTTCAAATATAAAATATTTGGTGCTTTTCACTACCTCCATTGAAATAGTCTGCACTTTTGTTGGATTCTCCAAATTGTGCTTTTAAACCAGATAATTTATATCCTGATTAACTTTTGTTATTGATGCTACTAAACTTTTTAAACGAAACTTTTAAGAGCCTATTTAAAAAAATATTTTTAAGTTCTTAAATACATTTTTTCAAACAGAGCAATCATTGTGTTCATTATCTCTAGTAATTCGTCTTAACGTTGAAAATTGGGCAATGTAAAGGAAACAATTTAAGACAGGCATCAAGTGTTGTAAATACATTTAAAAAAGAAACCATGGTAATTTTTTATTTTATTTCTTCAGTCATTACAAAATTTATTAATCAAATTATATATTTTACAAATATGTAGAAATTTATTTTCTGATTTTCTTTTTATATAAGTATTGAAAAAAAATGTCAAGTATAGCAAAAACATTTTTAAAAACTAAAAGATGTGAAAACGAATAAACATTAGAAAAAAAGTTAACAAAGTTTCTCATAGTTCTAGAATATACAAATTAGTTTTGTAAAAATTGTGAATAAATTACATATCAAAACTTTCAATTGTAGTTATAAAATTATAAAATTGTTGTTATATAATATATTTTTTTCCTCGACTTGTATTAAGTTCTGTAGCTAAAATAGCAACCAAAAAAAAATGTAAAAGTTGCATAAAAATTTTAAAAAGAAAATTTTTTTTTCTAAGTTTTTTTTTTCAATTATTAAATTTTTCTATTTTATTTAATCAAAGTTTGATAACTCATTATAATTTTGTTTTCTTTTTTTATTATTATTATTTTTTCTCAGTAGATAAGTTTATCTTTTTGCAGCAAATTATTGAAATGCTTTAAATGTTAAAAAATGCCAACTGCCATGGTCAGTGTGTCTAAAAAAATTACTTTAAATGTGGACAAACAAGGCGTGCAACTGCATGCGCTTTCCAGGAAGGCTTGATGTATGTTTGGTATTTTATAAAAACATTTCAAAAATTATTTATCTCATACTTTTTTATTCAGGTTAATAAGTTAAAATTTTTTTATAACTTTGCTTTAGGTGATAAAACTCAGCGTAAAATTTCTGTTTTTGACATCATTGCGTCCCCAAATCCTATACCAAATGTCAAAAATGAAGGTTAATTTGTTTTTTGAATTTTTGTTATTTTTATTTTGATAGTTAATTTATATTATTTATTGAAATATATTTTACGTATTATGAAGTTATGAAAATATATACTAATAAATAAATAGAGTTTAGAGAAATAAGTTTGTTTTTTTTTCAATCTCTGCAAAAAATATTTTCGGATAGTTGATATTAGGTGTTGAGGAAATGATATCAGGTTTAAAATAACATTAAAAATGTTGTTTTTAAGATCCCTCAAGTCATTAGTTTATTTGATAGATTTTTATATGGAGTATAATAATTTCTATTCTGTCCCCTTTACCTGTTTATTTACTTATAATGTGTTCAGTGATGGATCCAGCATTTTTTGGTGTTTGAGCTAACTTCCAGAAATGAAGCAAACTTCAAACATTTGTATGTTTATATTTATGTCAAATAATGATGCTTTGCAAAAAGTTCCGATGATTGGAGGCTGGGAACAAAAAAGCTTTAAATTTCATCTCTTAGCATTTAGAAATTATGCCCCATTTTTTTGTTCAGTATTAGTTGATGTTGTGTCAAATGACATACCAATAAAATTTCCAGTCGAGCCCCATTCTTCTGAAGCAGTAATAACAGCATTTGCTTAGGACTATCCAGTTCTATGGGTTAGTTTTGCAACAGTAAGCAATTGCATAACACCTAAACAAGCCTTCCCAGGAAAAGGCGTGCGGTTTTTCGACTTGTATGACCACTCGAGAGTATTTCATTTTAGACAACTTGATCACGCCCGTTTGTAATTTTTACAATATTAATCATGGTGGAAAAAGTTTGAAAAAAAAAAAAGCAAAACTAACAAAATAGGAAATAAAAAGAAATTTATATAGAAAAAAATAAAAAAATAAATTAATAATTTAAATAATTTATGTATTGTTTTTATTTTTGTTTCTTTAAAGTGGTTGTTACATTTGGCAACAAAATTAGATAAGGCGAAGTAAAAAAAATAGTTTTAAGTCTTCAATAAAAAGAATAGTTTTTCTTTATTTAACTTTTTTTAAAAAGGAAAGCAAAAGATATAAATTGCAATGTATTTGTAAAATGTATTTATATAACAAGAGTTGAATTAAGCGAAATGCAAAATCTGAAAAAATATCTGGTCTTCAAAATTTTAGTTTATACAAAAACATGTTCTTTGTTTTCAAGGGGCAAATCAACTTTAATTTGTTAGCGAAAAAGTTATAAAAAATAAAACAATAAACTTACTAATGCAAAAGTAATAACACTCTAGTGACTAACTGCATTCTAAAAGTAATAACACTATAATAGTGTTATTACTTTTATAATTATAAAAGTAATAACACTATAATAGTGTTATAATAGTGTTATTACTTTTATAACGCACTTATAACTTTTATAATTCATTTTTTGTTCAAATAAGATAAGTTCTCCCAAATTTTAATTGAAGTAGAAAAGCATCTAGAAAAAAATAGTGGATATCCAAATAATATTTAAAACTTTAGTAACTTATAAAAATTTAAACGTAACTTTATCAAAACGTAATGTATGAAAAGTTTAGCTTTATTAAAAACGTTACTAATGATACGTAAAAAAGTGCGTTAGTTTCAAATCAACTAATAAAAAATTTTTATTAGTTGATTTTAAAGTTAAACGCGCCTTTATACAGATTATAATATTAGTGGCGTTTTTCATAATGTTTAACTTTTTATTAAGTACATTTTTATAAAGTTGTTTAAGTGATTTGTAAAAATTCCTCAAGCTTTTAATATTTGAATATCCGCTTTATTTTTTCTAGATGCTTTTCTACTTTAATTATTGTTTGGAATTACTAATGTTGTTTGAAGAAAGAATTAACTTAAAAAGTAATAAGTGCTTTATAAAAGTAATAACACTATTATAGTTTTATTACTTTTATAATGCAGTTAGTGACGAGAGTGTTACTTTTGTAGTCGTAAGTTTGTTTTGTTTTTATATTTTTCTCGCTAACAAAATTATAATAATTAGCTCCTTGAAAATAAATCGCGATCGCTTAATTCACTCCTTGATATATACTTGTTACATTAAAATTATACAAACATATTTTACAAGCAGATGACAATTTATATTTTTGCTTTCCTCGTTTAAAAAAAAACAAAATATAGGAAAATCATTCTTTTTAATGTTTAAAGCTTTTTTTTTTTTTTGCTTTGACTTACCGAATTTTGTTGCCGAAAATAATAACCACTATGAAAAAACAAAAATAAAAATAGTACACAAATTATTTAAATTATTGTTATTATTATTTTCTATTTAAGTTTATTTTAAATTCATATTTTGTTATTTTGTTTTTAAAACTTTTGTCAGCAACACATATAAAAAAACTTGCAAATGGCCGTGACCAAGTTGTCTAAAATAAAATACTCACATGTAGTCATACAAGACAAAAAACCGCATGCCTTTCCTGGGAAGGCTTGCCTAAACCAGATACTATGGTAGGCAGTCTATCAACATAAACATTTGATGTCCAAACTTGCATGTGTTTCCCATCCCAGTGACCTACTCTCGATAAATTGAGGATGTATTTATATTCAGTTTTGTCAAAGTCAAAGTGCTCATCTTGTCGAAGTGCTCTAGTTGTTTTTCTTTCTGAAACTTTAGACCTATCTAAGGTCATTGCGAGAGCAGCAGTGACTATGTTTCTTGTTGTCCTTCTTGGTTTCCCATAACTCCTTTTTTTCCTGGCTCCCTTTGAACAAGGATATAATTATGGTCTTCTTTGTTTCTAATTTCAGTGAATGCATTTCCACTTACTGAAATGAGAAACAAAGGCTTTTTCAGGGTATTTTGTAACTTGAACACAAGGTAAATGTCAATATTTTTGGAATTTTTTTAGAATCATATCTTTTTAATATTGGCTTCAAATTTGGCTTCTTGTGTATTTGTGTTTTAATATATAAATGCCTAGTTTAACACTTATGGGGACAGATTTTACAAAAAAACTAACACTTACATACATCGACTGACAAATAGCCTGACTCGCAAGGGAGTGCTGCTACATCAACTGAGGGTTTGGTTAGGCCAGGCATTAAGGGCAGGTTTAGGGCTAAGGTTACAGTATGGTTTAAATTTGGTTATATTACTGTAATTAATCGTTTTTGTAAATAGATGAAATTAAAAATGAAATATAATATAAAATAAATAAATAAAAGTAAAAAAAGTTAATATAAAAAAATATATTTTTATAATAAAATATAAATATGTATAAATAAAAATAGAAATAAAATAAAAATTAAAAAATTTATATAAATATGATAAAAATAATTAAAAAAAAAGTAAAAAAATAAAACAACAGAACGGGAACAAAAATAACATGTTCCCAAAAATCGCTATCTAATAGGTTATATATATATATATATATATATATATATATATACATATATATATATAATTGTAATTCTTACTAATTTAGTTGTTTTATAGAAAATTCTGAAAATAAACCTACGTTGTTAAAAATGGCATCTAATATGAGTATATCCTCTACAGCTCATGAAAAGTCATCTTTAAAAGAATTGTTTTCAAATCACAGTGATAATGTTGAGAGCTTTTTTGATGCATTTAGTGTTGAAAAAGATGAAACATTTCAAGAAAGGATTTTAACTCATTCAATAAGTGACACCTTTCTCGATAGACAAAGTGTTTCAGCAAATCAAAACATCAATTCTGATAGAACATTTAAGTTTCCAAAGCATTCAGTTATATCAGACAGTCTTCAGTCAATTACATTGTCACAAGAACATTTGATTGGAGAAGATAATTCAACCTTCAGTTTGAACTCCACTGATAAAAACTATATTTTTCAGCTTGATGAAATTAAAGGAAGCTCTGTTCAGCTTATTAATAATGAAATTGTGCCTCAAGTAGCTGAAGAAGAGTTTGAAAGCACAAAAGAGTTGGTACTTAAAAATAATTTATTGTAGATATTAAAAGTTCTTTTCATGTTTTAAAATTGTTTTTGTTAAAGATTAACATTAATATTGTAAGTAAACAAAATTAGTATTAAACAGTATTTTATTCATTAAAATGTTTAAAAATGTATTTTTTAAAATAACAAATTGAAATAAAAACTTGTTTAGAATGAGGCATTGCAGCATCAAAAGTTTAATGCATGGATTCCAAATAAAAAAACACAGCTTTTGCTGAATAACATTCAGGAAGGAAAACCAATTGATAATAGCATTTTATGTTTTCCTTCTGTACTTGTTGAGGACCTGTTGGTATGAACTTTGATTTTTTTAAGTTGATGTTTACATTTATTTAGCTTTGTAATGATAATGAATTTTATTGTTTATTTTAAATTGATACATGACAGTTTGATGATAAATTTAGATGCGTAATGGTCCCATTCTTTTAAAACATATACTAAAATGTATATATTAAAATGTTTTTTTTTTCTTCACTTTTTAAAGTTTATCTTTTTGTGATAAGCATTTTTATTCCTTTTATTTGTAGTCATTATATCACCTCTATCACTATGACAACACTTTCTTTCATTATATCCCCTCTTTCACTCAGACAACACTTTAAAATCGACATAACCAACTTGAATACAGTTTTTAATTAGAATGTTACAATAAAAGCAAAAATTTAAAAAAATAAAAAAGATGCCAAACTATATTACAGTGATGTATCTTTTAGTATTTCCAGGTTGTATTTTAAATCAAAAAAAAAAAGTAAATTTTATTAATAATATCATGCAGTTTGCCTTTCAATGATAATATTATTTCTTGTGATGATGTCATAATAACACAACAATCATTTTAAATATTGTTGTTTTATCTGTTTCTTGATCAACTACAATTACCTTGTCTTTATTTTGTTCAAAACCCTGTGCAAATTGAATAATTAGCTTCCAAATAGAACTCTTTGCAATGTTGATAAATCATAATCACTGGTATTTATCACTGTGGATTGTGAAGATAATCCAGAACATCATAGTATATATTTGTCTATTTTTTATCGTAGAATTAATGAATCTTTTATTTTTACACTTAATGCTAGACTTTGATAATTTGTCCAACATTTTATGATTTTAATGTGACATCAGTTGTTATTAAGTTAAGATTGGTAAAACACAATATTTTAACCTCCATTTTGATTGGTTACTATATACCAATATTACGATATAATAAATTTATTTCTACAGAACAAAAGTTAAAGTCTTCCAAATCCATCAACCTTTTTTGAACACAATCACACAACTTATAAAATTGGTTGAGTATAACTAAGAATTTGTTCCATCTGGAACCTAAAACTAATGACATTTCTTTTCTAAGCTTTCCATATCTTTTGCATGTTTTTTGAAGAACTGAATAATTTTTAGTGGGAGATTTTTTGAACCATTTTCACAACTTTTCTGATTTTTTTATATCAAAAAATATATATCAGTGTTTTTAACAGAATTTCAGATGGTATATCAATTGTAATATTCCTATATCAGATTCAGTTTCTTTTGCAAAATTAAAATAAATTTCTTTTATTAAAATAATTACTTAGTGATGTCCACTGGTCCAATGCTGAACTGAACTTCATACCTTGTACTGTTGAACTGAACTTCGTACTTTTAAAGATTGCAACCAATCAGCCATTTCTTTTTTTATATTTTCTACATAGTCCATAACGATTTTTTATTTTGTTTGGTTGTATTTGGAGGTTTAAGAATTTTTTTTGAAACCTTTAGTTTATAGTAAACTGCGAAGATCAGTTGATGGACTAAATTTTGGAAATGTTAAACCATCCTTAGCAACCATCTTTGCGGGGTCTAGCTAGTTCTTTGTTAAATACAATTTAAACACATGATATTTATTGAATTAGAGCAAAATTAAACATCAAAATGCTTTTTTTACTCTAAATTGTAGTGGACATTTATTAGTTGTTATGTTTACAAATTTATTAGTTATGTTTACAAATTTATTAGTTGTTATGTTTACAAATTTATTAGTTATTATGTTTACAAATAAGACTATGATAACTAGTCATTCAATAAGTCAGTAGGATAAGTAAGAAAAAAAAACATTTTTGACAAAACTTGATTTTATTATTCAATATAGCCTTCGAGTGCGATACAACGAGTATAGTGGTTTTCCAACTTTTCGATACCACTTTTATAGTACGATTTCTCTTTCTCGTCAAAATAGGCCTCAGTTTCAGTGATTACTTCATCATTGGACTTGAATTTCTTTCCAGCAAGCATTTTCTTGAGATTTGAAAACAGGAAAAAATCACTGGGGGCTAAATCTGGAGAAAACGGTGGGTGGATAAGCAATTCGAAGCCCTATTCAATTTTACCATTGTTTTCATGGATTTGTGACATGGTGCATTGTCTTGGTGAAACAACACTTTTTTCTTTTGCAAATGTGGTCGTTACTTTGCAATTTCAGCCTTTAATTGATCCAAAAGTGCACAGTAATAGTAGCTGTTGATGGTGGTTCCTTTTTGAAGATAGTCAATGTATATTATTCCGTTCGCATCCCAAAATACAGAAGCCATCACCTTACCAGTCGACTGTTGCGTCTTTGCTCGCTGTGGATTTGGTTCGTCAACTGCTGTCTACTCAGTTGACTGTCTTTTAGATTCTGGTGTATAATGATGAAGCCATGTTTCATCCATTGTCACATATCGATGAAAGAATTCAATTTTTTTGCAGTTTAACAGCGCCAAACGCTCCTCTGAAGCATCAATTCGTTGTTATTTTTGGTCGACTGTGTGAGTTCACGCGGCTCCCACTTTGCACAGAGCTTTCACATTTCACATTCCCAAATATTCATGTAAAACGGTAAAAGCATTACCATCTGATATATTTACAATGTCAGCTAGCTCATGTACCTTCAGTTTGCGATTGTTCATAACTAATTTATGGTTTTTGGGAATAACAGCCTCATTTGGGTGTCCACTGCGCTCTGCATTATTTGTGCTGGTACGACCATGTTTAAATTCAGCTATCCACTTCTCTACCATTTGTCTCGATGGAGCAGAGTCCGGTTAATGTTTATCAAGCCATTGTTTGGTTTCCACTGTATTTTTCTTCATCAAAAAGCAATCCTTTCAAAACTCAAAACTCGAAGTTCACTTTTTTCCATTTTTTTTTTTCAATAACAAAAGTTGCTTCATGCAAAATGCTATAACTTACGAATCAATAGGGAGATTGCTGACAAGTTTATACACGTATTGTTTGAAGGTTAGTACTAAATAAAAATCATATTAAAAAAAATTTTATAATGCTATCTATGTGTCATCCTACGGACTTATTGAATGACCTATTATTTATATATTTTATTTTTATGTTAATTATCTTATAAGGATTCAAATACACACACACACACATACATAAGTAGTTTTTTTTTTTATTTGAAAGAGAACAATGCTGTTAAGTATATAACATTAGTTTATATAGATTTATATTAAATAATTAATTAAATATTTCAATTAATTAAATAATCTATATAATTTTAAACTATTCCCTGTTGTATTCTTAAGATGGCGGACGCTTTTTTCAAACAGATAAAAACAACTTTTTTAGAGAGGAAAAAAAGAAAAAAAGGAAAGAAAACATTTATAAATTAAACGAATAATAAAATCAACTACAAAGCAGAATAAATAAATATTTTAAAACAAGAAAAGAAATATCTAAAAGGAAATAAGTAAATAAGTATAGAAAATAGAAGTTAAGAAAAATGTTAATGAATGAAATAAATAAAAAGAATGGAAAAAAAGAAAAAAAAAACTATTTATACATCGAAAAAAGATCGGCAAATGAAAATTTTTTTATTTTTTATTATGTTTCTTTTGTTTTATTTCATATATTTCTTTAGTTTTCTTTCATAAATTTTTAGTATTCTTTATTTACCATTTATTTTTTATTTAAGCAGTCTTGTAGTAATGATTTTTCTTTAGTTTTTTAGCATATAAAAATTTACTTATAATTTTTTGTTAGTCATTTATTGTTTTATTTTTAAATAGTGACATCTAATTTTTTATAGTTATTTTTTATATTTTTCTGTTTATATTTTATTTATTTACTTTGTCATTTTATTTGCAATATATTTCGATTATATATTAAATTTTATTAATTAATTTATAAAATTTAATTGTTGATCAATTAATTGACAAACAATTAATCAATTAATTTTTTGTAAAAATGTAAACAAATAATACAATGTGCCTATAGAGAAGCCTGAATGCTATTTACAATGTCATCTGAAATAAGTTGTTCTCTAGTTTGGAAGCCATTTTCATTGGAAAACAAAGCGAAATTATCATACAAATGCAAACATTGTTCAATCAAAATTAAATTCCATTCATTGACTTTAAGTTTCTTATTTAGAGCATAATTATAAAAATCTAACCAAAATTGTTTCAGAAAAGACAAAAAAAACACAGTTAAGTGTTGCTGCCTACTGTAATAAAACAGGTAAGAAAACTTAAGAAGTATTTGCTAGTTTAACAGGTGTAGATTGTATTGCTTTTGCAACTTTGGCCAATAGTAAAAATATGGGTATAAAAAATCATTTAACTTTTTTATAACAATATTAACTGCTCTTTGTGAAGGCATTGAACCATTTATTCTAATCATTCCAAAATTGTAATAAAAGTTGTCTGAACAATATTAAAGATGTATTATATAAAAATGGCTGGATAGCTCAAGGAATTAATTTTCCCATTGATCAGCATGCTATAAAGGTAACTGTTATGAACTATGCAAGCTCAATAAAATTAAAAATTGCTCAAGAGCTTCAGCAAAAAATATCTGGAAAAAGGTTTTCAATTTCTTTTGATGAGTGGACTTCAGGTGGAACTAAAAGGTATTTGTGCCAGGTAATTTTTTAAAATAGATAAAAATTAAATTGCTTAACTAGCTCAAGATGTTTTCATACGTTTGTTTTTACATGAAGAAGTAGAAGCAGCATCTGAGTCTGATATTAAATCTCCTTGTAATGTAGAACCCATAAGAAAATAACTAAAGCTAAAGAATTAACACAAATGATATCAAATATAGCTTCAACAACAGTATGAAATAAAGGACTAACTAGTAAGTCATCCCCTCAAGAGGTTTTGACTCATATTAAATGAGAAATGACAGTACTTAAAAGTGCTGGAAAAAAACCAAACTCCCTTAAAAAAGGTTTACAATGTCGTGCTTAGCCTTCCACCATCATCTGTAGAAGCAGAAAAAAGTTTTAATGCTGCAGGTTTATTTATTACTAAGTTATGAACTAGTTTAAATAATAATAACTTATGTTTTTTTTTTAAGATCTGATAAAAAAAGAGAAATAAAATCATAAGAAGTTGCATTTACTCTTTTAAAACTGTTCGTAAAAAATAATCAAAATTAATCTATTAATTGATTAATTTTTTGAAACATAATCGCTAATCAATTAATTTGAAATGCCATATAATCTACCACCCCTATGTGCAAGTAAATTATTTGTGTTGCAATTGTTAATAGTTTGTGTTGCAATTGTTGTTGCCTTGGTAAATATTATCAATCTTTACCAAAAAAAATTAATCAATCTTTTGTCTTAAGGGAACCTTGATAATGTTAAATAACAACCTTAAAAGGAATTGATTATGTAGCGATCATTATACCATTCTTTTTTTAGAAATTTGTTTTGTAATTGGTATATTATTAATATTTTCTTTCCTGCCTTGTGATAGTAATAGGGGTAAAAATTTAGAGTGGCAATTTAAATATTTAAATATATCTGACGCATGTAATTCCCCATATGGAGGAAAATTAAGTAATTAAACAAATTTTTTAAAATTTAAAACTTTATTTAGGACATAAATTAGTTTATAAACATATAACTAAAATTCAACAAAAACTGTGAAAAATGTCTTTCGTACAGAGCAAATACATTAAGAAACATTTATCTTGGGAAAAACATTGATGTTTATGTAGCTGTTAGAAAACCCATGCCGACTAAAAGATTCAAATCAAAAAAGTATAGTAATTGTTTTATTGCGTCAAGGCTGCAAGGTGGCGGTGGGAGCGTTGGTATTTGGGGCTGCTTTAATTTTAAAGTAGCAGATGTGTAGCATTTATGTAGGCCAAATTAACCAACACACCTATATAGAGATGCTAGAGAACTGAATGGTTCCATCAGTAGACATGCTGATTGATGGAAGCAAATGTTGGCAGTTTCAACAAGATATGGCCCCTGCCCACACAGTTTGTATAGTCAAATCACGGATGAAAAAAAACAAATTAGATACATTGTAACAAAACAAAGTATATGCAGTCCTTTTTTTTTTTGAAAGCACTGTATATATATCAACTCGTTTTTCCGCGCAGCGGCCTTGTTCGTCAATGTTCGTGTTTCGGAGTTATAGAGTTGAGAGAGGGTTATAGCCACAAATAAGTAGCCTCCTTGTCTGTAGTGGCCTTCTCGACCTTGAGGAGGTGAATTAAAATTAAAAAAAAAAAAAAAATGTAAGACTTTGAGCACGCTTTTTCATAATACATTAGCTTAATGTGTTATTTACTTATATAAATTTGTATAAATATGCATGCATAAATTTTGTTTACAAAATTCTTTATTGTTAACATATAATTTAAATAACAATACAAATAATAAATATAAAATATATAATCTAAAGAATTTTTGACTCAAATTTCTTACTTATTTTGTTATCTAGCTGTTTATTATTTTGACATATTTAATTAAAAGATTATAAAATTATTCAGCATTTTTGTAAAGTTTGAAATTACAAATATAGGGAGATCCAGTCAAAGATTTAGCTGCAAGATATTTGAGTGAACACGACTCAAGTAAGCGTCCCGTACTTACAGCAGACCAAGTTGAATTTGATGAAAAAGGTTTAAAAAGTTTGTTGGTAAAACTCCTTTTTTTGTGATCTTTTAGTTTTTTTTAATATTCATTTGATTTGATTTAATTAAAAGACATAAATATAATATATATAAATTTACTAACAGCAATAGAGTAATAAATATTGTAACTCTATTCTTGTTGTTGTGTTATTTATTAAAATAATTATTATTAGTTATTTTGATTACATTTGTTGTATTAATTTTCATAGCAAGGGTTGTTACATATTTATTTCCAAAAAAAAAATCTGTTTAGAAAGTTTTCATTTCTGATTTTCTAAAATTTTAGTAATAAAAGTAAATCTTGCTGACTCAAGATTTTGTCTTGCTGACTCAAGACAAAAAAATGTTTTTATAAATATTTTAGTCTTTAAAATAATAAATAATTTTTATTATTTATTTAGTTTATTGTTTATTTAATGTTTAAATAAAGTTTTGTATTTTACTTTTAGTGTTGATGTAAATTAAACAGATTATAAATCTTGCTATAGTTGTCAGGGCAACAATTTTCACTAGTTTTTATAGTGATTTTAATTTATACTGCCCTTTGAGCACAGCGAACCATGATGACTCTTCAAACTATGACCTTTAATGCTAAGATATTGGTTTTGGTAATTTATAAATGGCACCATTGATTAGTGAATAATTTTTTTGTTCTTTTTTTATTGAGCGCTCAAAGGCTTCAATGCATTTTTATTGAGTTCTCAAAGGCTTCAATGCAATTTTAGCACCACCAAAATGCAATTTAAAAATTTAAAACGCAAATGTTAGGTATCAAACAAAACATCTTATGAATTGTAATCATTTTCTACTCAATTCCTTGTTTTTATTTAAATTTTTTTACATTTAATGCTATATATTTTCCATCTTTGGCTTTATACTTTTTTTAACGCACACATAATACACATAAATTGTATTGCGTTTTAGAAAGCACAGTGCTGGAGAGCAGCTATTGATTGGACAACAAAGTATTTAACATTTCACGGTCAAGGAATATCAAATCCAATAAAAATTGAAAATCCTCAGCTTACTCCTGGATTGCTACAAGTATTTTAGTTTTTATACTTGATTGTAGTTAAATATTATAATGATTACTATAATTGAGAAAATTATCTTTTTATTTTATAATTAGTTCATAATTATGTTCTTTGAAGTGCAAACTTAATTTTTTTTCAAATTTTTTTTTTCTTTTTTTTTTGTTAAAGTCATTAAAGTAATTGTTAATGAAACTAATTGATTTAATTTTGTATCACACTACATGACACAAACTCTTAATTAAAAGGAATTTGGCTTGTTCAGTTTTGTGTACTTATTTAGATTTGGTTTGTGCGTCTCTCCCTAATGGTAAAACTTCGAATGTATAGCAGTGCTGAAGCAGAACTTAATGCATTTAAAGATTTTGAGTCTCCAAACCTTTACTATCAGTTTTATCATAACATTTACCCTGGTGTAAGAGGTTTGTTTTGCAAGTAATGTTATAGATTTTTTGAATGATTTGTTGTTATTACTCTTGCTATGCCTATAATTTAATATTATTATTAATTGTTACTAATACTAATAATTGTTTCTATTATTGTTTATTACCATTATTATTTTTATTGTTTTACTTTTTATCAATAATTTTTTTTTGTCTATTTAGGTAGCATGATACCTTTTAGCTTAAGATTATTGCATGCTGAACTACCCCAGCACAATGGTCGTCCTAATATAGCTTTAGATCGGCTTTACATTATGCTTTATGAAGTAAAGGCAATTATTTCAAATCTTGAAAAAGGATTGACAGAAGAAGGAGATGTCAATAAGTCTTATTCAAAGGAAGATTTTCAAGGTCTTTATATTATTTTAGCTAGTATCACAATTTTTTCTATTGACAAGTGATTTTGCTCAAACATGATATTGTATTTTTCTTGTGATTTTGCTCAACTATATTTGCCATTGTTTTTTTGTATACATTTTTACCAACTATTAACATAAAAAAATTAAATCCAATAGCCAGAACTTTTGAAAGAGTTATTGTAAATATATTAATTATTTCTAAAAATAATTAAAAATTTCGATTTCAAATTCCAAACCATAATTTTCACAATTCATCATGCATATTGTAAAAGGTATTAGAAAAACAGTCTCTTGTTGAATGATTTTTTTGTTTTTAATTGTTTTGTTTTTTGTGATTATTTTATTGTTTTGAGAATATTTCCCTACTTATTTTATTCTGAAATTAATAATGAATAAAAATAATAATAAGTAAATTAATTTAAATAATTTTTTTTTTATTTTGCAAACATTTTGTAATTTTTCAAAATTGCTTAAAAAAACATTTGCAACTCTTTTTTGATGGTTTCTACAATGCAATCAGTTATTATTTAAAAACTTTTTTTTTAAGTTTTTTGAAGTTCATAGTTTTAAGTAATTAAATATTTTTGTTTGTTGTTCATTTAGTATTTTATTTATCTAGAGCGTTTGCACATTTGGAATTCTCGATTCTTACATGTAAACTATTCAATTGGGAATTGTTTTTTGCGAATGAAGGTAAGCTTGATCTATACTTGAAATTCTTCAAAGTAAGTTGTTATTTGATTTGATATTAACTATAGACATT